TTTTTCATTTTTTTTTCGCAGCAGAAGCCAACCGAGAAGTGTTTAATTAAAGGGATGCTATTCAAGAATAACATTTTAATACATTTTTTGCCATGGATTACCTTTCCTTTTAGTTTGTAAAAGGGTCGTCTATAATACATGACATCACCCAACACCGCCGAGACGGCACTACTTTTTTAAAAACTTTTAATGCCAGAGAAACCTTCGCTGGAGTGTAATCAACAACTATTCCCAATGGTTCATGACGTTAGTGCGAACGATGACAATGCATAAAAGACAGACCTACAAACAACATACTTTCTTATATATATATATATATATATATATATATATATATATATATATATATATATATATATATATATATATATATATATATATATATATATATATATGTATATATATATATATATATATATATATATATATATATATATATATATATATATATATATATATATATATATATATAGGCCTATATATATATATATATATATATATATATATATATATATATATATATATATATATATATATATATATATATATATAAGTGTGTGTGTGTGTGTGTGTGCGACCACGATATAACAAAATAATAAGCCACCCCAACCCGCTTTTTTCTATATTATGTTTTATCTGTAGATTACGATTTTGATTTTATTCGATGGGAATACAATCATTACGCAAGGCTGCACCACATAAAAAATTACATTAAAAATTTAATCGATTAAATTTTTAATAGTGGTAGCCTGCACTATTAACATTTATAGGCTACCATAAGTCTTCTTGGCAACCTTTGCAATGTAATAAATATATCAATATATTGAACTGGCTACTAATTGGGTTAACTCGAGTTGTTGTTAATTTTGTTTTTGGTGTTTGGAGAGATCATTTAACCTCCAAGAAGAGAGTGAACCCCCTTACTAACAAAAAGAAATCTGGTTTGTAAATCTTGGCCTAAAGCATAACATAAACATATTTGTTAGTAACCCTTTGTCTCGCTTTGTTTTGAGTCTTTTCATACTATTTAAATTAGGTTTAGCTCTAGACTATATGATATGGTAATCGGTAAAGTAGAATCACGATATGATATAGATCTAGATCTAGTTTAGTTAGCTTCGGAAATTATCTGGTATTTGAATTTGTTGAGTTTCGGTAACATTCGACTTCGTTACTGAATACTAGTGAATACTGTATGACATTGTCAAGACTTTAATAGAAGTATACTGTGATATATTTGTGTCGAATATTATAGATAAATGAATAAAAACCTAAATCAATGGCTGAACATATATATTATATAGGCCAGAAATTAACTTTAAACAGCAGTGTTTGCGAGCAAGATTTGCTATATAAAAAGCAGTCATTTGTAAAATAGAGTGGCTTCCCCTGAATCTGCTATAAGTTTACATGAAAATAATAATCATTAAAAAAGTTTTAAAAAACCCACGTTTTCTGATTGAACTAAAAAGTAGAAAATAAATGCTATACATCACAATAATGCAAGCGATCACTCTACTTAACTATAAGCGATGAAAAACGTGGGGCGCCGAAGTAAAAGTTATATTACTATTGATTAGATCTTTTTTTCTTCTTCGTTCTTAGTTATTAGTGTTGAAGGTGATCGAGATTTATCGGCCAGTGGGTTTGAACTCGAGACTTTGTTCGAATGTATCAACCATGAGCTTTTTTGCCGACTCGACCACGCCTCCAACACAATTAAGCGTTACGTGTCAACTGGTTATGCGCCATTGAGGCCATTGACTCCGATTTCAGCCTGCTTTTCTTTTTGGATTTGCTTCCATAGCCTTTGTCCAACCAAGAACAAACTACAAGGCAGCAGTTGTTTAATTTTGGAGTTGTCTCTCCTAAAAGAGTGGCTGTCTCCAGCTAACGAGCCTCATCTGCCCGAGGGTTCGAACTCGAGACTTTTCGGTTTAGCAACCATGAGCTTTACCGACTCGACCACGCCGACCCCTTATTGATTAGATAATACTATTGACTTTTATTAGGGAGCTTGTAGAGAGTCAACAGTATTGGAAACTGTAAGAAAATCACGGCGCCCCACGTTTTTGATCGCTTATAGTAGAGTGATCGCTTGCATTATTGTGATGTATAACATTTATTTTCTACTTTTTAGTTCAATCAGAAAACGTGGGTTTTTTAAAACTTTTTTAATGATTATTATTTTCTACTTTTTAGTCTTTGTCTGTTTGTTTGCATTAAAATCTTGCTATCGATTTTATCTTTTCACTTTTTTTTGGGTAAACGAAGACAACTCGTAAAAAGACAACTTGTAAAAAACACGTTGTGTGAATACGTTACTGACTAGAACACATAGATTTGAACCCGTGTCGAGTGGGATAGCAATCGTGTGCCCAACCACTCGACCGTATCGTCTCCCCCATACTGGCCACCAGTTGTTACGGTTGTTTGTACACAAACACCGCGTGAACACTACTCAGTAAGCAAAGAGGGAGAGTACCGAACCTTGTTTTCATCAAATTACAGTTACTGGGTGATGTCCCTTTTTCCCCACGTTTTTACTACAATTATATAGCGGTCTAAAATGCTCAATAAAATGTTTCCATGGATCAATTTAGTAATAATAACAATTGAATATTCTATTGTCATCCAAAACAAAGCTTCCCTGAAAATTTCAGCGCGCTAGCTAAGTGGGAAGTGCCAGAAATTTCGATCGCAAGATTTGATCGGAAAAACAGAGACGAAAGCAAGTTAAAGAAAACGTGGGAACAAACGTAATCAAGATGTCTGCTATAGTAAATGAGCATGTTTCATCTGTTGGAAACATCGCTAGTCTTCTTTTATTACTGAAAAGTTTTAATTCAATTGTTTAAAAACAGATACATAAATGAAACAAGGAAACATTTTTGTATTTTTCAAAACATAAATCCTCCTCAAAATGTGAAATAATTATTAAAATTTAAGGAGTCACCTGTTTTTCACATTACTAGTCGCTGGCGATTTTACGTACCTAAAACGATAGATTACAAAAAAATTAGCAGCAATGGACACCAGCGAGAAAAGTCTTAAAGGTGTTTGAGAGGTCGATAAATTAATTTTAAAATCTTGCACGGCGTAATTACAATTAATATGGTTATAAAATCCTGTCTGTCTGGTTTTTTTCGGACTTTACTAAAGATTGGATATATTTGATGTTTTTAATATTTTCGGTAACTAAATAAAAAATTTTAAAAAAGCAAAAACAATTTGGTTTTCACGTGTAATGGCGACATAAACAATGGCATCCTGCTATTCGATAGGCCGCTATAAATTTTATTGTACACATTGTAAGCTAAAAATAGAAAAACTGGGTCATGGTGTTTAAATTTGCATTGTTATTTAAAAACTTGATCTGCAAAGTTTTGTAAACAAAATAACTATAAAGTGGGGCTGTCAGAAATCGATCACGGAGTTCCTTTACAGCCAATCAATGTTTGTCTTACGAAAGTGTAACATATGGTTATAACTTAGGCTTGATGAAAATAAATAGAAATGTAGCCTTAAACTCAACAAATTATTTTCAAGTTCTCTGGATCTGCAACTTGTATAGCATTGATTCTAAAAATATTAAATTTCTGAATTAATTTTAGGCTTAAGTTTTTAATAAAATTTTATCTTTTATTTTCATGGTCCTAAATCTAAAAAAGCACATTTTTATTCCATGTCAACAACATTACGGAAGGATTTTCGTCAACTCACTGGTGTCCATTAGATCTAGGCCTAGTAAATCTAAATATTATTAAATAAAGTCGAGTGTAGTTATTAATGTTTTTTAAGAAACAGAAAAACCTGCAGAAGATTTGCGACAACTAGATCTAGCTCTAGTTCTTTTAGTAAAATAAGACGATTAGATTTACTTAAGTTTAAAGTAGTAAGAAGAACTAGAATAATGTTTAGTATTGTTTAGTAGCAGCAATAATTAGCACAGACACTTAAAATAATTAGAAATACAAAATAATTAGCAAAACAGTATTTAAAATGCAACTAAAATCAACCCTTGCACATTTTTAAACATTATGGATTAAAAATAATATGGCGGCAAATAAATGATGGTTTACAGTATTTCCAGAACGGCTCGACAGACTAAACCATGGTTTTACTGTTTTTTACTGCTGTACAGTTCTGGAATAATAACCGACGCTATATCGTGATTTTACCATCAGTATAACTTCATTTTAGCGAATTTTTTATTCCCTGCTTTGATCAATTCCTATTACAATTTATTTCTTAAACGCAAAAGGCTGTCTGAATTACATGAGTGCAAATAAAGTTTGAGAAATGTAGCTGCAGCACTTAGCTTCTCGTGGGCCCTGAAAGTATTAAGTCAATGTCTGTCAGTTGCATTACTCTGTTTACAACACACACAACCACTTCTTTTTATTGTTTAATTATTTCCTCTACTTACATTGTCATTTTCTGGTGCTTTAATTATTCATTTTGTGTAGTATAAAAATAAGTGACAATTTAAAATAATTTAAATTTAAAGTATTTCATTCTTCTGCTACTAATTTTTTAACTGGTGTTAGTCCACAAATCTGTTAACAATTTATATGGCGATTTTGTATGAGATTGTGTCTTGCCAGATTAATTTATATGTAATTTAATGTATAATATCATGATTTATTATATTGCACTAAATCTAATTTAACATGTCTATAGAATGTATTTACTGATGCATTGACAAATTTCATGTTTTAAACGCAATATAGCTCAACAGCTGGTTCCAACTTTTCTCCAACCATTAAATCACTACAAAGTATTTGTTCAAATATTTTAATCAATCATTTGTGTAGAATAGTGTAATGTTTTTTCAAACATAATTTTAAGGGTTTTAATTCTCCTAACCTTAGTAAAACTCTTTTCACAAAAAAATCAGTGATAAAATAAACTCTAGCTGTACCAAGACATTTTTTATTGTAGAATATTATAATTACAAACTCGAAATTTTTTTATTTTCAGGTACTAGCTTATGAAACATGTCTTTGAGCCAGCTTTTCACAAGCTGGAAACTGCCCTCCGCAGCCGTGACATTACTTAAAGCATTACCTGCATTAAATAATCAGCCTGTCAGGTTTGCAGCTAAAAAGGCAGGAGGCACAGTGCGAAACCCAATTGGTAGAACAAAAAGAAAACACAGAGGCATTAAAGCTCATGATGGACAGTTTGTTCACAAGGGCTCTGTGATTGCTACACAGTACGGCATCAGGTTCTATCCAGGAGAGAATGTTACAATGGATAATGACTGGACCCTGCGAGCAGCTTACGATGGTATTGTTGTACATACAAGTGAGGTACTGAATCCTTACCCTGACAGCCCTCTTTATGATCCAGTACAGAAAGGGACAGTAATTCACAAACAATTCTTCCATATTATACCTACTCCTCTGCATGGGAAATTTAAACTCATATCGGAAACATAATTGTTCTTGTGTAATATGAAAAATAAAAACAAGTTCCTCCTTGATAGTGATGTTTATCATTAATCATTTTTCCAGTTTTTTTTGTGGTTTTTCAAGGGCTGAAACAGTTTATCAGCAAATGCAGCTATTATTTAGCAGACCTTTGCATAAACCCAAACATTCATGCTTACACTTCATACTTAAATAAATCATTTTTTGACAGTCCATGGTGCAAGAGAAGTAGAGTACACCTGTTTCTGTGACATAATAAGGGATAGCATGGTCAGCTCTTACGCCCAGCCTCATTTACCATCCGTAACATGAGTCATCCGAGCTGGGTGGATTCTGAATGGTCTAGCATAAGAGTGCTAGAAATGTAGAATGCTAAACTGAAAATCTTGGGTTGGACCCATGTTCAAAGATTTTTGACCCTGAGTCCACCCAAACATTTTTCATGTTTTAAATGATTTCCAAACTTTAAAATATAGATCTAACTAAAGTTACATTTGTTTCTTTTAGAGTAGACAGACATACTAACTTAACATTACGCAATCTTATTCATAAATAAAAGAAACCATTTTTTTCCTCCAATTATTTATTTATGTACATAAAATTTACAGACAATCCAATCCCTTTTTCATCAGCCACTTTAGCATTAAGTTCTTTCATGTTTCGTTATTAATTTTATTCTTTTCTGCAAACTCTTTACTCAAGATCTTCATAATGTCCGAGTGTTTTAAACCTGTTTCTTTGCGTTTGACTGAATAACATTCTTTCACAAACAAGGCAAACTTGTTAGGCGTCCTGGGTGTGACAGGGGTACTGCTGACAGAGCCTTCCGTTTCTGACAACAGGTCTTTGGTCAGAAAAACTTCAAACTTGCCATGGCAGTATCCACACACCTTTTTGTCGGTATCAAGAGATTTGGAATGGCGGCCAATCCTGATGTACAAGAAAAAACATGAATATATACAAATATGATTAAACTGTTACCATTTAAATTAAATGATTTAATGTTATAAGCATTATATTTTAATCAGTGGTTGCTGTATTTTTGAAAAAAAAACAAATTTTGAGATATCTGATAAAGAAGAAACTAGGGCTTGTATGTAGGCTATTTTACTATGATAACTAATAGTACTTAAGTATTTACATCAGTTTATTTACTAGATGCTTCTAGATTATCTTTTCAATTGTTCACCATTAATAGTTTAACAAACAGGCAATGTATTGTTGGATAGTAAACACTTTAAAGTAATGAATCACTAGACCTATGTTCTGAAACAGATTTCTAAATAAATTTGATAACAGTTCTTGTAGGCAGACCTACCTGTACTTGCACTTGACGCACTGATAGGTGTACTTTGTGTTGATGACGTAACTATGGCATGTGGCTATCACTGGCAAGAAAGGAAACGTCCTGTTGATTTGTCTGGCCCTGTTCAAAAATTGATACACAGCAGTTTTGTAAACCATTTTTTTATGTAGGACTTTACTTTTCAACCAAAAAATAATACTTTTTCATCTATCGAAATACATCAAATGTTTTAAAACAGACCAATTTATTACAACAGACTAAATTATCGACTAATTTACCAGGATTTCCATAATGGTCCATGCCCTTCATTTGCATGATTGATTAATCTAACAGCAGCATGACAAAGCTCATGGGCAAGGGTATCTCTAACTCGTTCTAAAAACAAGAAAATATGTACTTTTTTTTTTAGATACAACAGGAATGTTTAAACAAACATTTTTAAAAAAATAAAAAACTGGGCTTCACTTTTTAAAAATGCCAAAATTACTTACTGATCTGAAACTATACAAAAGTCTTTTTGCTTTTTTATACAGGTAATTTTAATCATTTGTTAACATATTTCAAAGTTCATATTGATTTCACTTTAAATGTGTGAACATACTACAGGATACTTAAGTAAAACCACATATAGTCGGTTTACACAGTGAACAGTCAATCGTGTCACAATATTTCAATAACACTCCTTAAAAACTAACCCACCGTATTTCTGAGTATCAGTCATAACATCATAGGTAATTTAAAACAAACAAGATTTTTCGAAAATCCTTTTCTAGGCTACAATAATTAAGTTTAAAATCTTAGGCGACACCCTACATATAAGAAACAATGCAAAACTCAACAAGTTAAGAGACTGTTATTAATTATTATACACAAACCTGGGGAGTCACAAATCTTTTCAGATAGCATTATTTTTGTCTTGAAATTTTCTTGGTTGCCTTTGAAGTGGAATGTGCCTGCAGTTGATCTATATCGTTTGCTCCATTCTATAACAAAATCTTTAGAAAGCTAAAATATGAAAAACATATTTTTTTAACCAGCATGAAGTCAAGCTTGAACAAATTGTAGTTGCCAATCAATAAAGAAATCAACAAACCTTGTTGCTAAAAACATGCTCATTGAAAATTTGAAATATTTGCCTTGTTAAATCAGCTCTTGTTGTTTTAAAATGTTTTATATATCTGCAAAAAAAAAACAATTAACATTGAATTTTATTTAAATAATAAATAATAATGCAAATTCTTTGATTAAGAAAATTGTAAAAAAAAAACAGCAACAATTGGGATGTGTGATATTATTTCATATGTTGAACTTAAGATTAGAATCAATGCAACAGTATTTACCTAGCAGCAGTTGGGTGTCTATTACGTTCTGGGTAGCTGCTATTCAGAGATTTTAGAAAATGTGCACTTTCATCATGCCTGCCATCACAAGGATAATCCGTATGTAGATTTGTGGATGAGTTAGTTCTTAACTCTAAGGAAAATAAAATAAATACTGAAATAATTTTTAGGATACCCTAGATATATTATAGTCCTGCATGTTACATAAAACAGGATTTCAAAAAATTAAAAATAAGTGTTGACTGAATTGTATAAGTATTCAAAAGAGAAAATATAAAAATGTGTATATTAATAAAATAAATGAATGACTGCAACTTTGAAATTTAATTTTTTGAACATCAATTAAATGACTTATTGTGATTTTACTTTTAATCTGGTAAACTATTTTTTATTCGAAGAACAAAATGTTAAGTATTACTGTAGGCTACCTGTGGACTTGAAAGGAGTTTTACTATCGTTTTCTTTCTTGCGAGGCACAGGAATTTTAAACATTGTTTCCACTTGCTTTCCTGACTTAGGCTCAAGATTATTATCCAGATTTTCTTTTAAACTCTGCTGCTTTCGGCTGACTATGTCTGGTAAAAAATCATCATCGTCTGAGGTTTCTTCATATCTAGTTTTCCATGAGGCAGCTTTAGTGGGTGCCTTATTTTCATGAAAATCATCCCCAGATGAATTCAAATCGCTAGAGGAACCATCAGAACAGTAATATGAATATTCTGCTTCTTCACTGAAATATAAATGTTTACATAAATTAAAATAACGATAAAAAAAATTAGTTTATAAGCTATTTGTCACATACAGTTAAAGTATTTTACAGAAACATCAATTCAAATTTTTTTTTAAATAATGAACTGCATTTGACAGATTATTAGGTTGACAAAGATTACATATTTTCTAGACACAAATTTAAATATAAAATTAGTGTATAGGGCAAGAAAGAATTAGGGTTGCCAAATACAAAAGTTATGGCAAGAGACTGAATTATATGAATTTTTGTTGCTCACATCTTGATGCTTTGTGCACCAATGGCCATTGAGAAATGATGATGATGAGTCATATCATAGGATTTTAAAGAACAAATATGATTCCATTTTATTGTTTAAGAAATCTTGTCTCAGTTTTACGAATTAAGAAATACCATAAAAAGTTAAACATCATTTGATTTACCATTTCTGTTTCTGTTTTTCTACCTTGTTATCAACTTGAATGTAAAACAGTTCATCATCACTCTCACCACCTGATACTGAAGATTCTACATCATCTTCTACAATAAAGTCCTCAAGTGAGCTAAAATTTTAAAAGTAAAAGCTAAGTTGGTCAACTAGCTGTTGCTTTTTAAAACAAAAAAAACAAATGCATTGTTTTTCAAGAAGCGGTTATAAATCAAATTTGATATTTTTTTAAATCACTTAATAACTGCACCAAAATTTGTAAAAACAAATTCATATAGGCATAACTAATATAAAACAAAAGGAATATTATATTTGCAAGTATGTGAGATGACAATACTTACACTTCAGTATCTTTAATTTGCTTTTCAATGGGCCTATCAGATTTCTTTATCTTGTCTAGAACTTTAATGAGCAAACAAATATAAACAAATTTGAGCATTAATTTTTTTAGGCCTATATTTGTCATCTACTGGATGTTAACACCATGACTAGATAAATAATGTACCCTTTAAAGGGCTAGAGTAATGGTAAAAATTTAATGGTGTGCAACTGCATGGTAGTTAGCGGGAAATTTTTTTTTGGGAAAACCACTTCTCAAGAATGAAGTTTAAGACTAAGATTTAACACTTTTGTTTTAAAAAAGATTTATATAGGCCTAATGGTTGTGTATTTTTTTTGTTGATTAATATAAGTTTTATGTATGTAATTCTCTTTACGAGAGTTAAAACAAACGTACTAAAACTGTAGACTACAACTACAACTAAAATATTTTCCTACTTACAAGTATCGAAGGCATCATCGCTAGAACTGCTGCTGTATCTTCTTCTGGTTCTGAGGACATGCATTAATCAGTTAAAGCTGCAGCTATTAAATTACAACACCATCACATTTAACTTTAGGCCAATATTTTACAAAATTATTAACAATGAAAAAATTCTTAACATTAACAATAAGTAAACAGAAACAAATAGCAGTACCTGTTAAAGGACAAGGACTCAAAGCTTGTTATAACATGATCAATGCTGCCTTGGTTGTCCTCATCTGCTCTTGCATCTTTCTTTGTAGTTTTGATAACATTCCCCGTTTTATTCCCTTGATCATTACAGATACTTGACCCATCTGTATTATCACTGTTACTTTTATTATTTGCTATTATGTTTTTAACTTTATGATGTGTTTGCTCCTGTATGCGAAAAACCTTTGTACTCTCTTTTTCATTACTGGAACTATCCAATAGTTCTGGAGAGCTACAGTTATTAGCAGAATCTTCTAAACTTTTTTCTACTATATTATTCTCCTCATCTGTTGTTTCATCAATGGCTGCATCAGCATCACAATACTCTGTGGTCTCGATAGCATTGTCACAATCACTCTCAGAATCAGAGACAAGCAAGTCTGTTGCTGATGTTAATTTTACAGAATTTTCACTGTATGAGTTTTCATGGGATTTTGGGGCGTGGTTAAAAACACTAGCATGGAAAGATTCATATGCAGTTTTGTACATGTCTTGACTGCAGCTACTTAAATCTTCAAAATCTCTTGAAGCTTCTGAACACTTACTCATATTATGGTATGGAGAACTATTTTCTTGAGCCTTAGAGAAAGTATGAGATTCTTGAGAATCTTTATTGTGGTCCATGTCCCATACTAAACTTGTTTGAATAGACATATCTTGCACTTCAAAACTAGATGACGAACACAAACTATCATTTATACTATTGCAGTTTAAATCATTTCCTTGTTTCATCGTACTGCCATTCATAGATATTTGCTCTTCTTGGTGATTAAAACTAGTCTGAATGGAAATATCCAAGACTTCGTAAAAACTTTCACTTTCTAAAGTTTCATTACAAAAAACTTTCAAATTTTTTTCTTTGTCTTCAGAATCAAAGCTAATTTCATTTTCCTGAATTAAAGGACTACATTGGTTCTGGGAGCCTGAGATTTTCTCGTTACACTCCCTTGACTTAGTTGTGGATAAGTGCCAATTTTTCGAATCCATTGCTAAGTCAGCAGAGTGCTCTGTTTTTACCAGATTCTTTTGAACAGCATGTATTGGTACATTATTTTCAAAGACCTTTCCAAACTTCTCATCTTCATGATTGGGCTTTAATTTTTGTTTGGTAATTACAGATTGTTTTTTCACTGTAACTTGTTGGTAAGGTTTAATTCCTTCCTCATCAGATTCATCAGAGAAGTCAAGTTTCAGCTGTATGTTTTTTGGCAGTTTTTTTGGTGCCATATTTATTACTAGATCTAGTGTTCTCCAAACTCTATTCAACTTAGCTGGTACATGTTACATGAGGCATCATGAGGAGTGCTGCCAGATCTGTTGATATATTTTTAAATAAATTATTTTAAAATGATGGGTATAGTATAATAATCATTGGAGATAAAGAATGATATGATTAATAAGCCACAAGTGATAGAAATCTAGAATTTATTTTATAGTAGCTACAACACTAGAATACTAGATCTAGATCTTAATTATTATTATTTAGCTAGTATTTTCAAGTATTTAATTTTGGTATTAGTAAGCTAGATCGGTAAAACTCCATTTTAGCGTATTTTATTCGCCGCTTCACGTTCACCTCCGGTTGAGCGTATTTTATTATAAACACAACCAAAACACAAAAATGTTAGGAAAACACTAGGATAAGAATAATTAGATGATAGGCCCTAGATATAATATAGATCTACTTATTTTTTATGAATGTGTTTTAATTAGAAGAGGTAAAAAATTTAAATTAGCATTACAGCACTACGTGTTATCGTCGGCAGGAGAAAAATCCCTACCTGTTCAAGGGTTCACCGTGAGTTCACATTGACTTTAATAATTATCAGCATAATATGATATATGTCATAGCTTAGGGTCATTGTGAGTTCATGTAAGTTAATTTATAGTATCATGCCTTACAATTATGCGTTTCTACTTTACCCATTGCCATGAAAATCTTAACTGACACGAACATATTTTCAAGAAAAAAAAAGTTAAATCTAGATATCTAGATCTAAAAATAATAAATAGATCTAGATCTAGAAAATCTAGTACACATTCAAAATTTTGGATTTTTCTCAAGTTTTGACAAAATTACTTAAAAATACTAAACCAAAAATTCAAAAAGAAATAGGCCGAGGCCGAGTGATTTCCTAACGTTTTTGCGTGTTTCTGTGGTGTTTATAACTTTATAATAAAATACACTCAACTCAAGTCAACTGGAGGTGAACGTGAAGCGGGGAATAAAATACGCTAAAATGGAGTTTTACCAGCTAGATCTAGTCTCTAGATCTACTCACTCATCTAGATCTAGATCTCTAGGTCTATTATTCTCTAGATCTAGTGCTGTGACAACAAATAACAAGTGAAGGCAGCTAGATCTAGAATTCTAGATCTAGATCTCTGATCTAGTCCTATTAGTAATTTCAATTAATAAAATATTAAAATTCTAAAATAATGTTCTACTGAGTAGATCTATAATACTACCATCTAATCTAGTTTTAGATCTATTTCAAACTATCATTATTTTCTGAAGTTAGTAGATCTCTAGAGAGTGAAAGCGAAAATACAAATTAAGTTTAGTTTAGGGCATATTGAAGTTCGGCTACTCTCTTCTAAAATTTCATAAGTTTATTTTTGGCGGCAAGCAAGGGCGGATTTTTCTGCTGATCCTTGCCAGTTCTATTACTTGTTATTTAAAAGCACAAATTACGTGCTGTAACTGTAAAGTGTTTTGTATCAGGCTTCAGCTAATATCTTGTTTTAACAATTTCTACTGATCTTAATTTAATTACGTCAGCTAAAAAATGTAAATTTTAATTATGAGTTTACTGTTTGGCAGTGTTTAGTGTTTCTTATAGACTTTTTTCTCCGGTCTGGCTCGACAGTAATTTATCGGGTGCCAAAGACCTTTTGCTGGTTCTATTAAAGCTTCTCATCCTCTTATTTATCTGGGATATAGGCCTTTAAGCATGAGAATGTGTGCGACACTACGCTCCTGAAAATGCAAATTATTACAATGAATATGAGATTTAATCTAAACCGAAAATTCCCGAGTTTGAGCCCCAGAGTAGATGAACCTCGATGGTTGGGGATAACAACACACCTAGGAGAGAAAATTCCAAAATCTGACTGGCTGAAATTTAATTCAACTGCTTATATATATTGCGCATAACAAATTGACACGTAGCCTAATACATGATTGTATTTGAGGAAATACAGTTCAACACATTACAATTAAGACTAAAGAAGGATCAACGCTTCTGTTCGTATCATAGCGCCAAGGACTTAAGTAAGAAAATAGGACATTTGCTGTCGATGTTGTAATAATCCAATGAGTTACTCCCAATTTATTTTAGTTGAATTAAAATTTGATTACTTGACAGGAATTCTGTTACTATTTTTACCAGTCTCAGCCTGGGGCAAAACGTCGCAACCTTGACTAAAGCAATTTTGTTTTTATTTTAGGCTTATAGCTTAGATTCTGAGATAAATGAACATATTAAGTTAATTTTATTTTTCAATGTGTTGTATGAATGTATGTGCTACACCTATGGTTTTTTATTTAAACACAAGGGGTCAAGTATGACGGACAAATTCATTACTTTTAATTCCACCTTCCTTACAGTTACCATGGAAATCTAGATCTAATCAGAGGCGTGGCGACCCTTCCGGCGCCCGGGGACAAATTTTTCGATTTGCACCCCCCCCCCTTCAACCTTTCAATTTATTTTTCCAACCCATTTTGGCGCCCCCTAAGGTCGGCGCCCGGGGAAATTAACCGGTCTCCTCAAATGGTCAATTTTTTATTTTGTTTCCTTTTCGACGCTGCGTCTTTTTTTATTTAGCCGTTCCGGAAATCATACCTGTGCCAATTCTAAATAGGTCACAGGTACTGGATTGTCCTATGGTTTTTCTCTTATCAACATGGCGATACGGCGTTGTTTGTGTTGGGATCTTCGCACTGCAACCTTCGCTAACTTGATTGCCATCGTTGTAAGTTAAATTAACCCACCACCTTTCAATGCGATTACATATTTTAAGAGTATGAATTGTACACACATGAATTAATTGTACAAAATCATAAAAATACGCCTTTCAATTCAACACTTCCTGACTTCCGTGTTTTGATTTTCTTATTAAAACAATTTTTATTTTTAACACAGACCTAGATTCTAGATATATTCATGTTCTAGATCTACATACTGGATCTTCATCCGTAACTTTAAAATGTTTATGGGCTTTCACATATTTATTATTTTTTAATATTTATGTCGTTGATGAAATTAAACTTTAGGCAGCTTGGCATAGTGCTGACCAAAGTTTGGTCCAAACTAATAGTTAAACTAATCAAACAACTAGGCCTATGGGCTATACTTTAGGCTAATTTATTTATCCAAATTCATATGTATTATTATGTATGTTGAGCTCAAGAATAAGGTGAACAATGGATCACTTTTCACACTAGGTCTAAAGAGGAACTTAACTTTCTTTTATGTTAAACTAATAAACTTCAGTTCCTTTTAACCTCCCCTACATTTTTACATTGGATTGGACACTACAGTAATCCTCAGCACTCATTCATCATTTTTGTTTAAGATTTTTATAAGCAAAAATATGTGGCAGACAATGCAGTCCTGGTTTAGTTGTCTTTGATCTTGTTGAGGTATTTTCATAATTAATTGCCGGATTTTTAAAAAAATAAATGGAAATAAGGTTAGTAATAGTACTTAGGGACGTTCAAGTTCAAGTGAATTTTTCCTATAGGCCTAAACAATCCACTTATCCACCTGCACGGAATCGATAAATTATTTATTAAAACCGAAGTCTTAATTGATTGCTGGTACTTTCTTTTGTGCTGAATTGACATATTTTTGTAATTTTATTTTCAGATTCTAGCTGGTGGTGCCTTACTTCTGCGTCTTCTAGATATTGGTGCCTTCATCGACCCAATCTTTGAAATAAGTCAGGGTTTTAAAACACAGTGGAGAGCACATCAATGGGAATGTAAATCAAATTTTTTAATTACTTAGGCCTGAACTATTTTAGATGTTCTTGTTTTTTCGACTCAAATTAATATAGATTTTTACTCTCTGCACTTCTATTAAATTGAGCACTTTGTAAACTAGCAAGATTAATTATTGACAAAAACCTGGACTAAATTTTAAAATGTATTTTCCATCCACAGTGTTTTTGTCCTTTGACATCATCATCATATTTTGCCATGTGGTCATCATACTGTTTACAATCTACATGATATACATGGTCACTCAAAAGGTTTGTAAGATTCATTTTTTGTGTGCTCCTGGCAGTCTATTTGTAATGTACAAGTTGTCTATAATAATGCTGACACCAAAGATTTATTGTCAGAAATAAAGTACAACAGTTTCAGAATAAACAGCTTGATTTAGAGTTCATTTCACATTTTAAAAGTAGCTTTGCACATAATGTCAGTCTTCTGTCAATATCTAAATGCAAATTGAGCAATACTTAATTAATTTTTATTTTATGTGGTTCGAACACATTTTGGAAAATGAAATATATTCTAAAACATTAGCAGAACTCTTGCTGCCTCAAGCCCCATTGTGTGGCTGGGTAAACCCCATTGTGTGGCTGGGTACATCTGCAAAACTATTTTTAGTAACTTTACTATTTTGTTTATATCTTTTGGATAATTCAGTGTATAGTAATTCAGTTTACTTTGATTTTTACAAAAGATCTGTTTATAAAAATGTAGCTGCTAATGCTAGATTGTTTGGTTAAAAATTTGGTCATTAAAATAGAGTCCTGGGGGGGGGGAGGAGGGGAGAGAGAAGATAAAAAGGAACAGAGGCTAATGTATTTTTAAAATTTGGAGTGAGAATGATTTTTTTTACTATTGACATGAAATCATGCACCAGAAAAGGCATCATTGTTTATCATAAAAAATGTTGTGAATTCAGTTAAATATTTGGATGGCCTATATTTAAAAATAACAACTTTGTCAATCATCTTTGTTTCAGCACTTTGTCCTGTACATGGAGACAATGAGGATATTCACCTACATCTATATTATGTATGCTTTCATTGAGTTTTGTTTATCAGTTGTGGAGTTCTCTTTCTATGGCCTGAACACATTTGTAAGTATTATACAATTTTGTCTATTTTAAAGAAGTATTATGATTTAGTGTTAATAAAGCCACAGTGATTACTTATAATAACAGATTCTCTAAACTTTAATATCTGGGACTTATTTAACAAAAATTTACGTAGTTTGGATATAGGTTTTAGTTTGATTAGATACTGAAATATGTCGCTATGTACGTAATATTATCAGAATAGTAAACAATAAAATGTTTGTTTTCTCAGAGACTGGCTTTTGTGGTTTTCATTTGGCTGTACTGGCTGGCAAGGATGATTGCCACAGTGAGTTTATATTTAACTATAAATATTAGCTGCTGCTTATTAATTTTAATTCTATTCTTGTATCAGCAAGTAAGAGTAATACTTCTTTACAACAATTATCTGTGTAACTTTTTTCATCAATAACCATGCATCATTCTTTACATCCTCAGATTTGTATCTCATATGTACTGTTTTCCCGACTTGATGAAATGGAAAATGAAATGGCGTATGAGCTTCGATCATCTGACAGGAAATACGTCCACTCATATTCAGCCCTTAGTTAGACATCATTAAAATATTTTCTGACTTGTACATATTGCTTAAACAAGTACAAAAAGAAGTTGCATGTTTTTGTAAAATGTTTAATTTTGTTTACTTAATTTCTGCAGTTAATAATACGTTTTTAACTATATGAAAATTCACCTCTTCAAGCGTTTTATTTTATTTCATTAGAATTTAGAACCTTATTTTGAAAATCTGAACTAAAGCACTCTTTAAATATAAGTTCATAATGTTAAACAACAAATTTAATGTGAATGTTTCAAAGAACAAGAATTACAGTTACTAAGAAATAACTTATGTTCATGTATTGCTTTCAAACATGTATTGTTAATACTAACCTCAAATCTTTTTTTACATCTCGACAAAGCTACATTCCAAGTGAGATCAAAGTGACACACCTTTAAATTTTTGTTGAATGTCATTATTTGTAAATTTTCTATCAACATTTGTTAAACAATTACATTTGCATAAATAGTGTATTCCAGCTTTTAAAACGTCAACATCATATTGAAATTAACAGACACTTTTATTAAGTTTGAAAAACATAGTTTAATCTTAGAGTTGAATAATTTTTTAGAATCTCAGGGTTTGGTTTCAAGATAATTCTTAAAATATGTAGTTAATTAATGTATTGAATTTCTAGATAGGTCTATGTATTTGTACAGTAACTACATTAAAGTTAGGGCTCATAATGTGCATATTTAAGAGGTTTAGATTTTAATGAATTTTAAAAAGTTTAACTACCCAGGTCTCTAATTGGATTATACTTGAGTGTAAATATGTGTACATAGTCTAGCTAAATGTAAAAGTTGTACCAATACTTCAGTTTGTAAGGGATTGTTCATTACATTATTATGGTTTATGCATTGGTGTATCATTCCATCTACAGACATTCCATTTTTTTTGTATCAGTAAACTACACAATAGATTTTTTTTACTATATGATTATGATAATAAAAATAAATATACTTAAAGTTGCTTGTTGTTTTTCTTTTGTTTAGTAACTCTTTCTATAAAACTTGAGTTGGACATGGCTGTGGAAAGTGTCTGCTACAATTGTTAAAACACAATTTATATATATATATATATATATATATATATATATATATATATATATATATATATATGTTACGGTCAAAGCCCGAAGTCGGCCAATGTTAGGATTGGCCGGCCAATCCGCGCATTGGCCAATATCGCCTCCCATAGGTCGGTCAAAGTCCGAAACTTTGCTTGATTTCGGCCTTTGGCCGGCCAATCCGCAGACTGGCCATGGTGGACTGGCCAAAGTCTGAAATAGCTCTTGATTTCGGCCTTTGGCCGGCCAGTCCACGGACTGGCCATGGTGGACCGGCCAAAGTCTTAATTAGAAGATCATCTGGCTAGGGACGACCGGCCAAAGTCCGAATTAGAAGATCATGAGCAGATTTTGGTTTTTTTTAATGCCGTAAGGATCATGAAATTAAGTCTTTATTGATTATTAAATAAAGTAAATGACAGAAACATTCAATTTTTTTATTGTACTATAGTCTCAATCTACCAATATCATCATTTGTTACAACAAGTTGAACTTTTATGGCAGCTTGTTATTTTTACACTTGCAGCGATTTGTTGTGCACTTAGTTGTGCAATTGCAGCGAGTGTAGCCTTGGCCCTCAGTCAATGATTGTGAAGATGCGATGGTTCGTAGTGATTTTTCCTCAGTGCCAACTGACGACAATAAGAGCAGTTTTTAGTGAAGAATTGAAAACTCACTTCTTGCATACAGTTTTTTAGAACACCATGTTCCATTCCTAATTTGTAGAAACCGCCCTCGACGCTCATGACAACTACAATCACGCTTCGGGGATCACCGTGACCTCTGTCAACATCTGGAAAACGGATGCGTACATTGTCACCCACTTCACCATCTTTAAATTTTGTATTTGATGTTTTAAGCATCTTTGCACCTTGAGTTTGCAAGCTAGTATGAGCTGCTGACCTGTTGTCCATGATGTCTTGTTTGTTGTGACAGAATCTGCTGGCAATGTTCCCTCCGAACCCTTCGTCTGCTTCATTGGGTATTCCACAAATAGCATGGACATCGTTGCCACAGGATCCAAAAGAATGAGCTGCACTAGAATGTTTTTCACAAACTATATAGAATCTGTTGGCCACATTATTGTCACGCAACTTGTCTGGGCGTTCCGCCACGGCAGTAGATGTGTTAGCTGAGGATGTCGTTGCATTTATGGCAACCTCCATTTCTTGTTCAATGTTCTCAAGATCTTCCTCAGTAACTATTTTATCGAGAGCCCATATATGGAAACTAACATGGATTTACATTTGTTTCTTTTGACATCCATCAGCTATATCTGTCTCATGGTCTGACGGCCCTTTTGATACATGTCGCCTTGCATATAGAATGCTATAGGGCTTGTAAGTAGGTCACAACTTCTCGTTCTCGTACTATGCAGCTAGTAGATTTCAAAGCCGTAGACTTACAAGCCCTTTACAAACAAGAGCTCAACAATACGTTACTCTCAATGAAAACGCACCCAGAATAATGAAAATGCGATCACAACTTAGTCTAGATAGAACATTGGCCAGGACATCCCGGCCAGTGCGCGCATTGGCCGGCCAATGTACAAAATACGCTGTCAAGTTTAAGCGCTTCGGACTTTGGCCAGTACATCCCGGCCAGTGCGCGCATTGGCCGGCCAATGTACGAAATACGATCTTAGTGCTAAGTTCTTCGGGCTTTGGCCAAGAGAGCCGGCCAATGCTAGGATTGGCCGGCCAATCCTAGCATTGGCCGCACTTCGGGCTTTGACCGTAACATATATTTATTTATTTATTTATATATATATAATATATAGGCCTATCTATCAAAGCGAGAAATTATGCATGGGTTTCAAGTAAAAGAATAGAATGGTATATCTGAATATATTTATGTGGGGTTTGGTCTTTTTTTTTATTGTGAGGAGAATTCGGCAAAAAGCGACGCTATTTCAGCTATAACTTACTAACTACATTAGCGATAAAGTTTAGGTGGAGGGCCAAAACTAAGAACTGCCCAAATAAAGGGGAAGCAACTAGAGCGATAAAGAATATTTTAATATGATTAACCGTTCTTGGACAAGGCAAAAGCGAAAGTAAAAGAAGTAATGTCAAACTTTGACTCGAACTTTACTTACTTATTATTACTTAGATCTAGATAGATCTATCTACTAATTAAAGCAGAGTTGCGAGGGTTAAATTAAAGAAATATAAAATTAGACTACACTCTAGGTCTAGTACTAGACTCACTCCTCTACTAGAATCTAGACCTAGAATCTAGTAAGTTCAGTAACTAGGCGGCTAGTGCTAGTCTCTAGCTAGTTCACTAGCTCTACTGTAGCTAGATCTAGAATCTAGATCTAGAAATCTAGTATTTGAAAAAGGCCTAGAGTCTACAATTAGTCTAGATCTACGTCTAGTCATGATCTAGTGTCTAGTAATACTCTAACACTAATTTTATACTAGACTCTTGCTTGATGCTAATTATTATAATAACTAGATCTAGACCTAATCTACTAATCTAGAGTAATTAAAATTGAATTTTTTTTGTGGTAGAGGTAGAGATATAGGGACTACGACTGGAGATAGACTTTAGACATTATAAATAGTGTAGTCAAGTAGAAATTTACTGTTGTAGTGTAGACACCAGTGGCGTAGCTACCATAAAGCTAGCGTAAGCAAGGCAAATAGCAAATATGAGCCCTTTTTTGAAAGTTTGATGGGGGGGGGGGTGCAAATCGAAAGTCTGAGGGGGGTGGTGCAAATCGAAAGTTTGTCCCCGGTGTCCGGGAAGGGTCGCTACGCCTCTGAGGGGCCCACTAACACTTTTGGCATAGGGGCCCAAAAATCCTAGCTACGCCACTGGTAGACACTGTAAAGTTACTGTAAACGTAAAGAATGTAGATTGTAGATTCTATGTGTAGAGCTTCAATTAAGATTTTTAAAATTTAATCACAGTTATTCAGTGAATGAGTGATTCCCTGTAAATGAACTTGTCACAAAATAAGGCATCTTCTATTGTTTAAGTTTAAGCCAGTTTAAGGCCTGGCCAAACATTTGACGTTTGTTATAGAATATAGATCTAGGAGCTCAATCCGATTACTAAACTATCTCTAACTGTAAATATAATATATTATAATATTCACAAGTTCATTTGTTTCTTGACCTCGGCATATGAAGGGATAATTTAGTCAGCACTATACTATGCCCAGCTGCCTTTACTTTCTCTAACATGAGCTAAGTACCCATCAGAGCTGGGTAGACTCAGGTATGTTCCACTGACTTGAACTCTGATTCGAACAATGAGACTTTAAGGTTCGCAGTCTAGTACTAACGATTAGGCCATTCCATCCCACCAGATCTAGATATAGATCTATGTAATATGTAAGCTTGTTAAGTTCCCCTTTCAAACTTAACAATCCATAGGCAGATGAAGTAGAGTTTATATGTTTCTTGATTATGCTAGCTCAAAGGTCTTAAATTCAGATCTCAGTCCGGACAAGACTGCAGGATGCCCTAAATCTAGAAAGGAAAGGGTGCTGGTGAACTCTACTTCATTTGCCCCATGGACCACCGGTTTGCTAGGGCTTTTTTATAATATAAATATATGAATTATTTCATTTATTATAAACTACTAATACTAACTTTTTTTTAGCAGTTGAAAATGGCCTGGAAACTGCAACATTTCAGACTTTCATCGAAATGGTGTTTCTTATTTAACATATCAATGCTTCAAAACACACAGAAAAAGATACTTGTTCAAAATGGATATATACCTTTTTTAAAGTTTTCAACTTTGGCACATGTACAGCAATATTCACTTGGATTCCCTTGCTCTGACATGCAGACAAGAAAAAACAGAAATGTATTTACTGGGATTTCTTTATCTTCAAACTGTTTGTCCTTGCATCAAATACACCCCAGAGCTACCCTGGCCACTGAGAGTCAAGCTCGGCAAGGTTTTCAGGACTCAACTGAATGTTTAATTTTTGATGTCAGTGAAATTCTCATTAACAAATCCACTTTCAAAGAGGCCAAAGCCTTGGCAGTTAAACAGAATGCTCGGTTGGTTTTTATGAGTAAGAATAAAGATGGTGTACCATGTTTTAAATTACAACTCTTGCAGCATTCTAATCCTGCAGCCCAGTTTCTAGAGAAACAGGTAAAAACACATACTGATTCCGGCAGTAAGGTTTCTCAACAACCTTATAGTAAAGGTTCAGATGCGTCATTGAAAGGGTCTCAAAAACAGGAGAAAAAACAGTCTACTACAAGTAAAAGTTATCGAAAACCAAGTAAAAAACAGTCTGAAACTGCATTAAAAGGTTCTCAAAAACAAGACAGAATACTTAGTGATCCAGCATTGATTGATACTCAAGAACAGGATAAAAAACAGTCTGATCCAGCATTGAGTGCTTCTGAACAACTGGATAAAAAACAGTCGGATCATGTACTGAAAGTTTTTGAACAACCGGACAAACAGTCTGATCCAGCATTGAGTGCTTCTGAACAACTGGATAAAAAAAAGTCGGATCATGTGAAAGTTTTTGAACAACCGGACAAGGAGTCTGGTGCTCCGAAACAAGCTGGACAGAAACCTAAAGAGGATGCACCAAAATTGTTTAGGATTAAATCTTCTATAAATGAACACGATTTAGGCATCAAAGTTAAAAAAGGTCACAACTTATTGACCAAAGGACAGTCAGTGAAATTTATTGTTCATAATTCTGGGGTTTGTACTTTACACTTATAGCAACAAATTAAATTATAGCTTTCTCTTACCTTCACCTCACATCATGGTTGAGTATATTGTGGATTGAACTAGCCATTTACATATTTATGGAGTCTAAAATATGATCTTCATCATCTTTTCCTTTTTGTGCCCAAGACACATGGGGCAGCCACAGAAAGCTCCCTCCACTTGTCACTCACCTGCAATTTTCCTGGCAGTCCTTCTGCTAGCTGCTTCCCTGCCATGCGCCGCCACATCTCTCTTGGCCTTCCTTGATTTCTTTTTCCTTTAAGCTTCCAGTTTAGTGCCATTCCTGCGATATCTTCTGGATTAATCCTTAGGACGTGCCCCATCCATCACCATCTTCTTTTTTCAATTATTTTGGAAACTGATACCATTTCCATCCCTCCTAGTAATTTATCATTTGAGATGGTGTTAGGCCAGTGTATGCCTTTTATCCTTTGCAAGCACACAAAAAATATATAGACAGTTTATGGTATTATTACCATTAGAACACTACCATACATACATCATACTTTCTGCCTAAGGGTTATCCATTAATGACATCATTTACTGACAGTTTTTACATCCCCACAGTCATACATTATCATGAAAAGCCAGACACCCCAAAAAAAATGACACCACAACTCAGCCTACACCCCCCCCCCCCTCACTATTACGGTGAGGGATTAACACTCATACAGCACATCAAGGGTCCTTTTGGGCTGTAGTATAGGTGAACTCGTATCCCAATTAATATGATCCAAGTGCAGGCATTATTTACATTTAAATAACTAAGTTTTAGAAAACAAGATCATATGTCTAAGAAAATAGGACTGGTGACGCATTTTAAAAATGTATTTATTCATGAAAGGCTATACTGCCTGTAAATGTTTTTAACTTTTAAAACTGTATAGAAAAAAATATTTTTTAGTTTTTTTTTTGTCAGATTTATCTTTTTTTTTTCAGGAAGAAAAAAGCAATTCTCCTGTAGCTAATAAAATTACAGAAGAGTTTAAGACTGATTTCAAAATCAAGCAAGAGGCTTATGGAAGAGGTTCTCAAATCACTGTATATCCCATTCCTAAGGAAAATCCGTAACAATATCACCTTTTAAAAAGAATTTTTAAAAATGTTCTATAATTGTAATAATACCTTTTCTGTAACATTGTATTTAATAGTGATAATAACTTTTATATGACATTGTAACTAAGAATGTGTCTATGCTGTGGATTTTTTTTTAGAATACATTTATGTGGTGAATATACATTTTAAATACTATTATCACAATAAAGGTAATTTTTCTGACAGTAAGAACAAGTTCTTCTTAGTGGTTGCTGACTGCTTAGATGTTTTCTTTCTACTCAGCTTAAGACAGGTACCATTTCCATACAACTGGTATGTTATGTGATTCAAATTCAAACCTGTTAATACCTGATGATACAGCTAAGGCTTTAGATTACCACTTGTAGAGCTGATACAGGCTGATGGATCATATGATGTCAATTCTGGATGGCTGATAAAAATATTAAATCACACAGAAAACAATGCCCATGTTGCTGTCTTTAGGTTATACAAGATTCTGCAAATATGAAATATTTATCAAAGCAACCATACACCATTAAAAGACAGTAATGTGCTGAGACCTCCAGTTTGATTTATAATTAAAGAAAAAACATTTTGAAGACAAAAAAAATTTGTAATTGCTACTTTCCCTTATAGGGTCATATTTACAGGCTTAAGTTATTGCTCAATAGATAGGCAGACTGGAACAGTGTTAAGAAACAGACATTTCTCTCGCACATGTTACCAGCTGCTGCACACGTGGGTTTCCTCCAGGCTTTTCTTCCTTCCTCAGTGCACCAACAAGTTAGGACATGAAGGGCAGTTTGGTCAGGGGACGACCTAGAGCTCGTTACTTTTCAGGTTAGCCATTCCTTAAGAAACGTAAGATGCAACTGCATGGTAGAGCGCACAAATAACTGAAAGTCACAAGTTTAGATCCCAGGGTTGATTCTTTAGGATGTTCTTGAGTCCAACCAACTCTGATAGGTACCTGACCACACTATCCTGTCATATGCAGAAATTACAAAAACAGGTAAACTCTACTTCATCTTACTTGCTTAATAAATTGTATGAGTTGAAGTTGTATCTAAAAAAAAAATGAAAGGAAATGCTAAGTGGGGCATAGATTGTATAGACATTCAACATGAGAGACTATGTTTATTGAAAAGAATTTGGTTGTCTTTGCCAATCAATAGAAACTCCGATTTTGAAAATTTTACCCCCAGAAGCAACTCCAAGTTGTATTACCCATAATTTACAGTTATAAAAATAGCACCCATGACAATCTTCCCATTTTAAATATGGGTCATAGTGCAAATTTACAAGAGCTAGGATGGACTAAAATTGGATTAGGTCCCCCCCATACCACCTTAAATGAGGTCCTATACCACCTTAGAAGCTATATGATCAACTGGTCACAAATTTTCTGCTTTTATGTCCCAAAACAGCTGAAAATTTATTGCATGTTTTACTTTATTTCAAAAATAATACTGTTTTCTAAATAATAGATTGGTTGTCTTAAACCTGATACTGTGCATGTAGAATAAAAAAAAAAGAATTCAAATTTATATCAGTCATGTTTTTTTAAAGTTTGCCCAGTTCAGGTCCTCTAAACATGAATGTGGGAGGGTTGTCCAATTGAAATGTTAAAATCCTGAATTATAATAAATAGATGACCACTTCCATTAGGTCCATTTTACGAGTTCCCAAATACTTAGTCCCTTGTTTGAATACTGTGATTTATCAAACTCAGGATCATCAATACTGAATATATATATATCACTAACCAATATTCAATCTTTATCTTACATTATATTATAGAGTGAATTATTCATTGAAAGATAAACACATACTATTACAGTGCATTAAAAATGCTGAAACATCTTTGTGACAAATTTTTATTCATTTTATAAATGATGTGTATGACAATAGGAAGTTAGAATTCACTAAACAATAAACACATGGAGCTCAGGAGAAGACATTTAGAAAAACAAAAATTGATGCACATGGGTATAAATATACAGAAAATGTATGAAACAAAAACACTACTTGGAACAGAATGAAAATTGCAAAAAAGATGGATGTTTATACAAAAGTATACTTGACATTCTAGAAAAATCCCACAATACTTCTAATACTCTAACTCCTACAAATAAAATGAAAATTGCATTAATATGGTGATTTGATAAAGCTTGGACGATAACTAAAATGTTTAAACATCTGCTGTTTAAAGATTATGCATAAATCATAGAGCCTAAGTGGATTTACATAAGTTGGAAGGAAAAATAGATTAATCCCCTTTGACATAATTAAAAATTGCCTTTGTCAATAATGAACACACTAATAAGACATTCTTAAATGCACTAAATATACAATAATATATTCACAAATATGAAACATTTTCATCACTTTAAGTAAATCATTGATTAATTACCAAAAAATGAGGAACACATTTATGACCCACACATCAAACAATCCTCTCTGTTCTTTAACGAGCAGGCCAAAACTGCCATGTTCTGGTTCCTTTTGTTTTCTTTGTCTTCACTCTCTGCATCAGCACCGTTGGTTTGCTCCAGTGAAATTTTATCTGTCTTGTCTGTGGGGGCTGCGGCCCTTGTGTTGGTTTTGTTGGTCTCAGACAACCTCGTCTTGTCCACAGTGAACTGTATAGCTTGTGCTGCTGGCTTTGTGCGCAAGTAGTACATGCCAGTTTTCAATCCCTGGGTGGATAAAATCAACACAATTTTATTACGCATACAAGCCCGGTCAGGGATAATGGCTTATATGGCTAGATACATGCCGGAACAACCCCCTCTATTCAAGTTAGGTAGACTAGGTGAGAAGTTAATCACACCTTGAATTTGTTTTCTCTAGTAAAGGATTTACTATTGTGGGTCAAATATTTTATTTAAAAAAAAACATACCAGTTTCCATGCATAGAAATGCATGCTTGACAGCTTTCCATAGTTTGGTTCAGCAATGTGGATATTTAGTGACTGACTCTGGTCGATAAATGCACCACGATCTGCTGCCATTTCAAGTACAACCTGTATAAAACAGTAAAAAGTTAGGTAAGCATGTAGATTAGATTATGAAATAATACAGCTGTAAAGTAACATTTTTAAAAAAGTTATAAAATATAAGTTTATTCATGAGTTTGCTGTGAAAAATAAATTTACCTTCTGTTTTATTTCCCACACTGTTTTATAAAGTGCTTTGAGATCATCTGGAATCGAGTTTATGTTTTGAACAGAACCATTGGCGGCAATAATTTGATTTTTAATATCTTCATTCCACATTCCCCTTTCTGTTAAATCTGTTGAATGTAAATGATAGGCAAATTATTAATAAAACAGGTATCAAATTTCAGAAGTAGTTGCAGCCCACCTCTAGCAAACATTGAACTTTGAAGCAGGTTTTAAGAACAAATGTTAGTTTCTGCCCTATCAAAATAATTGCATTTTAAACTAAAATTTTCTACATAGAGGTTTTGGTAAGGTAGAGAAAGCATTACATGATGCAATAAAAGGTTGCTCTAGATCAAAGTTGCATAACAAAACATACAGCTCAAAATTATAATACATGTACACGGTATTTGATGAAAACTAATTTAAAACAATTAAGAAACAGGTGCTGCTTACCTTTTAGGAGATGCTGATTTACAATTTGAAACTCCCCTGAAAGAACTCGTCTTGTGTAGATATTGCTTGTGTATGCTTCTATGGACTCATTGTTACCCAGAATTTGTGCGGTAGATGCAGTAGGCATGGGGGCCATCAAAAGACTGTTTCGTACTCCAAATTTGGTAATACGCTGCCTAAGACCAGCCCAGTCCAAACTAGTAGTCTGAGGATATTTTAAGTTTTCAAATAAAATAATCATAAACAAAACAGCTACACTTATTAAATTAAAAAATAAATTGTAGCGTCTTACGGGTTTCACATCCCACATATCATGCTGAAGAATTCCCTTTGAGACAGGACATCCAGCATACGTCTCATAAGGACCATCTCGTTCAGCAAGCTCACAACTGGCATCAAGTGCAGCAAAGTAAATTGTCTCAAAGATTTCTTTATTCAACTGCTTTGCCTCTGGACTGTCAAATGGAAATCTCATCAAGATGAAAGCATCGGCCAGACCTTGAACACCCAGTCCTATGGGTCTGTGGCGACGATTGGAGCGCTCAGCCTAGAATAAGCACGTTTTTTTAAATAACAAAAACAATAACCTTTGGGTTAATTTTGAACATCTGAATTAAACTGAAATTTAATCTAAATTAGAGAATTAAGTTACAGCTAAATTATCAAAGACAAATAAAAAAAATAAATAAATAAATCATTAAAACACTACTACTTACTTCAGGGACAGGGTAATAATTGATATCAATAATTTTATTGAGGTTTCTGACAGCAACTTTGGTAACTAACTGTAGTTTCTCGAAGTCAAATGTCTTGTCAGGTCTAACATACATGTTGAGGGCAATGGAGGCCAAATTACAGACTGCCACCTGGAAAGTGTGTTAATAAAATTACTAAAAAAATATAACATAATATTAAAATTCATAATACAAATAACTTTAAATTGATAAGTCACAAAACTATATGAAGCAGGGTCAAAATGTGATGTTAAACCATATGCAATAAAAAAAATTAAAATATGAATTAAAAAATCTAAATACTATAAAATGCTATGATGGTAAATTAGTTTTTTTACCTCTTCAGGTGAACTGTACTCAACAATTTCTGTACACAGGTTACTGCACTTGATGGTGCCCAGATTTTGTTGGTTAGACTTCCTGTTACAACTGTCCTTGTACAGCATGTATGGGGTTCCAGTCTCTGTCTGCGACTCAATGATGGCATACCACAACTTTTGGGCCTTAATTGTCTTTCTTCCCTTACCCTGTGCCTCGTAACTGGAATTTATAGTAACTTAATGTATTGTTTGTGAGAAATAGAACATAGGGATACAACTTATATCAACTAAAATAAACCTGTAACCCACAGTAAAAAAATTGGCTTATAATGCAACAAATGAAGCAAGTTGTAAGAAAAACCTTAATTTGTATTAGATTAGAAAATTTGTTGAGTCTACCTTTCATACAGTTTTTCAAACTCTTCCCCCCACACATCAGCAAGTCCTGGACATTCACTTGGACACATGAGTGTCCAGTCTTCATTAGCTTCCACTCGTTTCATGAAAAGGTCTGGAATCCACATGGCATAGAAGAGATCTCTTGCTCTTTGTTCCTCCTTTCCTGTATTTTTCTTCAGGTCTAGGAACTCAAACACATCAGCGTGCCAAGGTTCCAAGTAAATTGCGAATGCTCCGGGTCTCTAAAAATATGAAACTTTATGATAAATAATTACTCCAACAAAATTAGTTGAAATAAAAGTATGAAAAATGTAAACAAATTTACCAACCTTGTTTCCTCCTTGATCAACATATCTAGCAGTGTTGTTATAAACCCTCAGCATTGGAATCAGACCATTTGAGGTTCCATTGGTCTAAAAGAAAATACATCAGTTATCAAATTACTTTGCAAGAAACATGTTATATAAGAAAAAAATTTACTTTATCAATAATGAACAGATAACAAACTAGAATCTGTCCCAAACCCTTCTATAAATTAAAAAGATCCTAAATATCAAACAAAATGCTATTGTTCCATAAACAAGTGATTAGCCCTATTTAATAACTCACCCCAGCTATGTAACTCCCAGTAGCCCTGATGCAGTGAACATTAAGGCCTATACCACCAGCACTTTTTGAGACGAAAGCACATGTTTTCAGAGTTTCATAAATACCCTCAATGCTATCAGAGTGCATGGTCAACAGAAAACAGCTAGAAAAAAATACAGGTAAAATGTTAATGTGACAAAAATGTAACTTCTTTCAAATAAAAATACTGAAAACAAAAATTCACAGCAATTAGTAATAAATTATATAGACATTTGGGATAAATAATTCTGAATTACCTTGACATTTGAGGTTTATTTGTTCCAGCATTAAACAATGTAGGTGAGGCATGAGTAAACCATTTCTCTGACAGCAGGTTGTATGTCTGAAAAGAAAAACAGTAAAGTAAGCAACATAATAAAAAAAACAGGTTTTAGAAAAATCCCAAATAAAAAACTACTTTAGCAAATGACAGGAAAGTGCTATTGAAATATATACTACCTCGATGGCTGCATCAATGTCTTCCTTATGAATGCCAACAGCAACTCTCATTAACATTTGTTGAGGACGTTCAGCAACTACAGAACAGAAAAGTGTCATATATAATGGAGTGACACTCAAACACAAAAATGCTAAAAACTTCAACACAAAAATACTTCTCACCTTTGCCATTTATTCTCAAAAGGTAAGATCTTTCCAAAGTCTGAAATAAAATTAAAAAAACAATTAAATAATGGAATAGCTTTTTATATATAAACGAGCCGGCCCGCGGCATAACATACGCCGCTATTTAGTTGTTTCTAATTTTCAATAATTCATAATTTGTGAATTCGACAGTACCAACGCTGACACTGAAAATATTTCTTTAAAACACTATAAGTAGCTCGTTAAGGACCATAACCCCCCCCTTCCTTCCCTCCCCCCCCCCCCTACGTTTAAAATCGTTGGCTCTGCTTGTAAACAATTAGAGTGAACACAGCTCACTAAAACCATGTAGGGGTGGGGAGGTAGGGAGAGCGTTTGCAGCTTGTTTTCTAACGGCTCAAAGAAGAGAATTATATATATAGATGTATACTAGAATACCCGTCATCCGTTGGATAACTGTGGGCTTCGGGGGTCATCCATCAAAAAACATCACGTCTGTCACTCAGAGGCATAGCGACCCTTCCCGGCGCCCGGGGACAAACTTTTCGATTTGAACCCCCCCCCCCCCCCCAAGATTTCGATTTTCAACCCCCCCCTCAAACTTTTGATGTGCAACCCCCCCCCCCCCCCCACGCAAACTTTCCATTTGAACCCCCCTCAACCTTTCAATTTATTTTTCCAAACCATTTTGGCGCCCCAACATATGTCCCCCCCGCCCCCCCCTCCACCTCCCCCCGCCTCCCCTTCCCCCCCCCGCCCCCCCCTCCTCGCTACTGCAGTGTCACTTATCGTCACAAAAAACAGACCCCACATTCAAAAATATGTTTTTTATCTTTTAAAAACACCGAAAACAACGATTTCGGACTATCCCTTCATATACTGACGTCACAGGTGACCTACTCAACTCTACTTCACCTGCCCAGTGTCCCGCCAAGTCTCAGACAACAAAAACGATTCCAGCCGAGCATGTCTCTGACCACACTATCCCTTCATTTGCTTAGGACAAAGAAACAGATGAACCCTACTTCACCTGCCCTGTGCCCCGCGAGGTCCTGATAGTCAACCTTATCATTCACATATAGGGCTTAAGAAAAAATAATTGAAAACGTAAAAAAAAAAAAAAGTTCTATTAATGTTTATGACACTGACTTTCAAATTTAGCCTTCATTCTCCAAAGCAAATTTTAAAATGCTTTTCTGGCATATCTAGCCCTGGCCACCTATACCATGTTTAAATAATGTGAACACCCGCCATTTTGCTCGTGGTAAACATGGCCTAAAAATGGTCGGAAGTCTTGCGTCCGGTCCGTACGCCATATTGTTGTTAGCAGCCGACCACGCCTCCAAGTTAGTGAGTAATCCTACTATATCTAGATATAGAACCTAGATAACAAAAAAATCCCATGTATTCTCGAATTAGATGATCATTGAAGCTAAACAAAGATTTATATAAAATAATTAGGCCCGAAATAGATTCTAGATGTAGAATTTACATTAAGTCTAGATCTAGAATTTACATTGAGTCTAGTGACCTAGATATCTAGATCTAGATTCTTGAATCTAGGCCCTAGGCTAGATTCTAGCTAGATTCATAACTTTAGATCTAGAGAAATTTATTGTAAAACTAAATGAAAAAAGACAGTTTAAAATTGATATAAGTGTTGGAACGTAATAAATACAGCAAACGGACGTATTGTTAAAGTTATGACCGACAGAAAATTAGATTTAGAACGCGTTAAACTTTGGAATGGGAACACAATTTTCTTCGATAGACGCCGCCATTTTATTGTACTAAAGAGTAAACAAAAACCTGTGACGTCACTATTCCCACAAAGTTTAGGCAAAGTTTTAACATTTTAAAAAAAAATGGGTTACTCTGCATATGAATAAATCAATTAATTAATTAACGTCTTTAAATAAATTTGTGATCAACAGTCTGTCTGCATTAAAAAATTATTCTCTACCTGCATACTATTTTACAGCTTTCCAGATAGAGTCGAACATATCACAATTTTCGATCAGGCAAACAAATAAATATTCAAACATGTAAACAAACTTGACTTTTAGTAGTATATAGATAAGTGTGTGTATAAAGTTCAATGTCATCTATAAATAACTTACCTTGAAACCAAAATAATTGTATGAATAATCTCTATCATAGATGATGGCAGAATTCAACCGCTGAAAAATTTAAAAAGTCAAATTTCAGGTGTCACTTGAATAGAAAGTTCAAACTATTTTAGATACATACTATTCTAGAGCAAAATGTAAAGTACAAATTTTATATATGAGAATGAACATACATCTGCATTGTTTTTAATGATGTTGTGAACTTCCTCAGAAATCATAGGGGAATGTTTTCCTGTCTTAGGATTAATCCAGTTATAAAGATCAGCCATTGCATCTAAACAAAATAAACAACAGCTATTAAAATTACATTCTGATATTAAATATTTCTGGTGTTTTACATTAATATTTATAATTCAGTAAATCATATTAAACAAGATCCTTACCACTGAAAAGCTTTTTGCTCTCTTTATGCAAATTGGACACTGCTATTCTAGCTGCAAGAATGGCATAGTCAGGGTGCTTTGTGGTCATTGTGGCTGCAGTTTCGGCAGCTAAATTGTCCAACTCAACAGTAGTCACCCCAGGATACAAACCATTGATGACCTTTAATGTTATTGCAGCCTATTTGCAAGGGAAAAAATAAGTGATTGATAAAAAGATTTCCTAAGCACTCGTTAGCACACACACAAAAAAATCAAATAAAAAAAAAGTCTAGTAGCCTACTACTAGATCTAAATACTGATTTCAACATGTAAGTTTTGTATACTTGATTAAACACATTAAGCCTAAAAATCTATAGTTAGGCCTGATTATTTTAGTAATAAATAGGCCTTTGCCTAGAGCAAATATCATTACTGGGTCAACAAAATCTTTGTGCAAGCCATAACAAAGCTTTTGGATTCTTGAAGTGATCTTGTCAAAATGGACACTTTCAGTACGGCCTCCTGAAACAGAGATGAAAAATTGTAAATACATTATGTCATTATGCAAATAATATTAAGTATAACTAGGCTGTAGTATAATTATTAAAATTTTTCTTTGTTGTCTTTACAAATTAATGATTAAATGTCGCATTATGATTCATTAGGATTAGATGAAAATAAATGATCGCTTGTATAAGGGTTGTCGGTATCGGCCGAGATCGCGGTAAAAACACGACCCGAAATCGCCCATTACTTTCTGATACTGGGCGCACGAGATTTGGTTTTGCATACTAATAAGTTTTTAATTTATGGTAATTAATTAAGTTTAAAAGGTCATTTCCTAATGTTAAATGAAAAGTAGAATGGTTTTCCCATTGTTTTGATGGCTTAGCGATCTGATTGCACGCTGTCTCTGCTTTGGTCTTCCCCCTGTATGAAGGCTAGTTTCAAACACGTTGGAATCACGATTTTTTAAAAGGTTATTCTAGATGAGAGAAGATTACTGAGCAAACATATCTTATGTATGTGGAAATGATATTTGTTTTTGGATATTTTGACTCCGACATTAGATATACTCGTCCAGGGGTAGTCACTGTATGTAGGTTGCATTGCCACCATTGTTATATTTTTTCATCCCGATCTTCCGGCCTTTAAGTTTGATCAACTAATAACAGCATTCTTATGGAATGTGCAAACAAATCTAATTTTTTATTTCAAAATATATTTATATACCCATCTTTAATTTTTTCAGCTCTAGTTCTAGTTTTGCAGAATATGTTTTTCCTAAAATCCAATTTTGTCAGACTAGACTGACAAGAGTCAGACCTAGGCTACCTGTCTGTTGCTATACACTAGCATTGTGCTAACTGTAATTTTAAGTATTCAAGTTCTACTTACCCTTAGATATAGTTATATGCTGAAAATCAGAATCCATACACAATTCACACATAAAAACATTGATCTGATAACTTCATTTCACTTATTACAAAATGGCTTTTATATGGACTCTACTTCATCTGCCCAAAATAACAAGGCAGTTATAGACACATTACAGTGTTCAAGATATTTACTTTAGATTTCTGACTATGGAGTTCTTTCATTCACTGTATTTATATAAAATATTGCTTTAGAAACATTTTCATATTTGCGCAGCAGTTTTATAACAAAATGGCTTAAAGATGGACTCTACTTCACCTGCCCAAAATAATGAGGCAATTATATGCACATAACAGTGTTCAAGTCATTTACTTTAGATTTCTAACTTTGTAGTTCTTTCATTTGCTGTATTAATATAAAATATGGCTTTAGAAACATTTTCATATTTGCGCGGCACACAGTTTTTTGGGGTTATGGGAGGAAGCCAACACAAAAATATAACCTCTCTATTATTAGTATTATTTTTATTCATTTCAACAGCATTTACAAGTTCTATATACTAGATATATATATAGATCTATATTATTCTATATATCATTCTAGATTCTAGCTAAACTCTGCAAATATGAACAAAATACAACTGCAAGTAAAATAAGGGCGTGGGGAAATTGCGAGACGCGAAAAGCGAAATGGCGAGGTGGGAAAATGCGAGAAGGGCGCGAAAACGGTTGGTCACGTGGCTTTTTTGTCTCGCATTTTACCACAAGCAGATACTTACGCTGGGTGGTGTTGAAATGCGAAGATTTCTGCGAAAAATTTACAGCACCTGATTTTCAGTGGTATTTGGTCCAGACTTCAAAAATGTTTCGTTTACATTGTTAAAACTTCAGATTTTTCCGTCGCTAGACATACTGATGATTTGTCAACTCCCCCCATCTTTTGTGTTGACTTAGAATACCACCTTGTTCGAAACCAACGGAAATACCGCCGACGATAGATCAACTTCTGTCTTTGGTGTGGAACGCCGTCTTTGAAGATCGCCGTGCCCGGATCCGCTGCCGCCGCAAACATATTTTCTATTGTTGCATAGAAATTTTGTATTATAGCCGCCGCCTACGATTTTTTCTAGCTTTTTTTACCATTTAAATCTAAGCACAACGAAATGCCTACATCATTTGGATACAACTATTCTGGAGGCAAGAACTACTTACTGTGCGTTTTCTCTTCCAATGTTCCTTTACACTAATTTATATTAGATTTTATATCACGGTTGTGACTTTTCCGAATTTTCCCATAAATGTTATATTATTATTTATTAATTAATTGTATATATATATATATATATATTTATTATTTCCATAAATAAGTCAGAAAAAATAACATCAAATTAAGTATGCGATTACTGCCCTATGTGAAGGTGAGGACTAGATTAACCCTCTTTTATGTGTTGCTTATTCCTAAGCTTTTATGAACTCTCAATGCCCCCAGTTTTTTTTCTCTTACTGTTTGGGGAAAAAATAAAGTGACGTCACCGATATTATCAGTTGCTCGTACTATATCGTAAGCTATCGGCCTACTTCAAATATTTTTAAAACCAAGTTGAACTTATCTGAATTTTTTGGTTTTGGTGGTGGTGTTATTTGGGGTCTTCCATAAATGACTTTTTGCAAGTACAAAAATCCATAAATAGATGTTGCAAAATATCTCTCCTGCTGACAAGATTATACCAATTTACAATGACACAGCTCACGTTTGTATAAACATGAGCGGGCTAGATTTTTAAATTAATGCCAACTAAGACGGGATTTTCCTCTCGCTAACAAGAGCGGGCGATGACAGTAGCACAGCAACGATGTTAGGATTTTTAAATAGATAGATCTAGATCTATCTATCTTCTTAGTATCTAGATAAAAAATAACAACATACAACACTTGTGTTAAAGGATATGGCTAAATGCTTGTTTATTTTAAAACAAAACAAAAATAATTTAAATAAATAGGCCTACCTAAAGATGGAAAAAAAAGAAAAAAACTTTTTTCACAAAAAGTGTCTCGCTATTTACCCTTAATTCCGCAGGTATGTCTCGCATTACCTTCTCGCATTTTCCCGCCTCGCCATTTCGCTTTTCCGAACTTTTCGCGTCTCGCAATTTCCCCACACACGTAAAATTACTATCCGGTAAAACTCCATTTTAGCGTATTTTAATCTCCGTTGCTTGTTTACCTCCAGTTGAGCGTATTTTACTCTAACAACCGAAACACACCAAAACATTAGGAAAACACGAATTGAATATTTGTATTGTATTGTTGCTTTTCATAAATGAATAAAAATGAATATTTAAAAAAACACGACTTATTTATTTGTTTTGTATTTTTGTTTTAACAAATGAATAAAAACAACAAAGAGACTGACTGAAATGCTTTGTTTGTTGGTTGCAAAAATAGAGATCCACACTTTGTACAAATAAGTGTTCCAATTTCAACTAACAGAATAAAAGTATTAAAAGGCATAAGGGGTCGTTCATAAATTACGTCACACTGTAGGGGGGGGGGATGGGGGGAGGGGATCCGTAATTTTGTGAGTGATGAGGGGGAGGGGGGGGGGGGGTTCAGATGGTGCGACGTCACACTTTTGCATTGTAAAAAAGCAATGTTAGAAAGCAAATTCTAGACGTTATTTCGCGTTTTAGAAAACTGTTCTAATAAATTGTAATAGGAGTTGATTAAAATACTCTATTTTGACAGAGGCTGAGGTGTGACGTTATTTTTGTGACGACGTGTGAAGGGGGGAAGGGGGGAGGAAAAATCGTCAAAAAAGCGTGACGTCATTTATGGATGACCCCTAAGAATGCTGCCGAAAGTGGGCCGGGGGGGGGGGGGGGGGTGGAATTTGGTGATGGATGGCTTGGAGTGTTAGAGAATGTGTGACAACTCGCGTTGTCATTTAAAAAAAAAATAATGTTAGAGGTCGTCCATAAATGACGTCACACTCGTAAGGGGAGGGGGGGGTCTTGCTTTTTGTGACGACACGTTTTTTTTACGACTTTTACCTCCCCCCTCCATTACACGTCATCACAAAAAGTCAGGACCCCCCCCCCCTAAAATGACGTCACACTTCAGCCTACAACCACCCCCCCCCCCCCATCAAAATTTCTGTTGAATTTTTCCAAAATCTTGTCAGAACTCTGTCAACATAGAGCATTTTGATCAATTCCTATTACAATTTATTAAAACCGTTTTCTAAAACGCAAAATAACGGCTAAAACTCGTTTTTCTAACATTGCTTTTATATAATGCAAAAAAGTGACGTCACACTATCTGAAACCCCACCCCCTCCCCCTCATCACCCACCGTCACAAAATTGCGGACCCCTCCCCCCCTCTCCCTTACGAGTGTGACGTCATCTATGGACGACCCCACATCAATTTTTTTTTAAAGTCAGATATTTACTCATACAAAAAAATCATACTTGATACAGATATCAAAATATTGGGAAGAATGGTAGATTTACTATGAATTTAAATAATATACAACTCTATAGTAAAAATATTTTATCAGTTTTGGCAAAATTGTCAAATTAAAAAACACAGAGTTTGTACATTTATTGCATAAATACAAAAATATAATACAGGATAATTAACAGTCAACAGTGTATCAGTTTCATCATGAGACAAATGCCTTTTTAAAAAAAATACAATACAAATAAACAAGTCGTGTTTTTTAAATATTCATTTTTATTCATTTGCTAAAACAAAAATACAATACAAAAAATAAATCGTGTTTTCCTAATGTTTTGGTGTGTTTCGGTTGTTAGAATAAAATACGCTCAACTGGAGGTAAACAAGCAACGGAGATTAAAATACGCTAAAATGGAGTTTTACCTTACTATCCTATGCTCAATTTATTAGTGATTTTGGTAAAAAAACACTAATCATCATATAAAAACAAAAATTACATATTCTTGTAGAGTTCAACTAGATCTAGAAAATCTATATGACAACAAAACAAAAAAGATTTTCTGTCTAGTCTAGCTCAAATAGTTTTTTTAGCGAATTTTTTGTGAGGGGTGGAATCCCCTTGCTTTTGCATTGGCCAATTGTGACAAGTCCTGGTATACCTGAATAAATTGAGCATAATTAGACATATTCAGATAGATTCATTTTACATACCCCGTTTCTGAACAAACATTTTCAATATCTTTAATCGTGCTGTAGACCAATCCCGCAAACTTTTTACACAAGAAAATAGGACAATGAATATTGGCGGGTGAATTAAGCTCCTCTAGTTGCTTCCCTTAGAAAATACTTGTGTGTCGCTAGTCGAGTTTAGGCTATATAAAATTAGATTCGTCTTTTTATATTCAAATAAAAATATTTAATAGGCCTAAATTTCAGTAAACCAACGTATATTCAGTAAACAAAAATTTTTCATAAAACCCAAACCCAAAGAAACAAAAATGCACAGTATAGTCATAGATTCATCATATTTCTACCTCAAAGCCTTAAATTATTTTTTATTCGGAAAGACAATCAATTACAGTAAAAATTATACATATTTTTTAAAGATATAGCTTTGACTTTTCATGGTCTCTTGTTTTCTAATGATACTCTATCTAAATATGCTTTGATTAAATTTAAAATAGGCATTTTTTTATATTAAAATAACTTAAAAGATACAATAAATGGCAATCAAAATAGGCCTCTATTTCATTGGAGGTTATCTCCCCTTGTCACGTTTTTTGTTTGATCTCTTCCCAGAGGCGTAGCGACCCTTCCCGGCGCCCGGGGACATACTTCCAATTTGGCGCCCCCTCGAGAGCAAATTTTCGATTTGCACCCCCCCTCGAACTTTTCATTTGCACCCCCCCCCTCTCAAACTTTCGATTTGCACCCCCCCTCGAACTTTTCATTTGCACCCCCCCCCCCTCAAACTTTCGATTTGCACCACCCCCCTCGAACTTTTCATTTGCACCCCCCCCTCAAACTTTCAATTTGGCGCCCCCCCCCTAAGGTCGGCGCCCGGGGACATATGTCCCCCCCGCCCCCCCCCCCCCCCCCTCGCTACGCTACTGTCTCTTCCTGGTCATTAACTTTCATTAATCAACTGATTATTTATTAACATACAATTTGCATAAGGGGTCATCCATAAATGACGTCACGCTTTTTTTGGAGATTTTTACCTCCCCCCCTCCCCTCCGTCACACTTCGTCACAAAAAGCCAGACCCCCCCCCCTAAAATGACGTCACACCTCAACCTACAACCCCCCTCAAAATTGCAGTTGAATTTTTTTTAAACATTGATATTTTTAAAAAAATCTTGTCTAAACTATTACAATTTATTAAAACAGTTATCTAAAACGCGAAATAACGTCTAAAATTCGTTTTCTAACATTGCTTTTTTATAATGCAAAAATGTGACGTCGCAACATCTGACCCCCCCCCCCTCCCCCTCATCACACATCGTCACAAAATTACGGACCCCCCCCCCCCTCCCTCCTACGAGTGTGACGTCATTTATGGATGACCCCTAAAATACAATTAAAATTATTCGCCTATATCACTTCATTATTCAAATACATTGTGGAAATTAATGACAGTTTGGTTATGGCAACGAGGGCTGTTATTTCCCCTTAGGCCCAACATCCCACATGGATTATGGAAACAATGAAAGTTGTAGCTATATTAACAGATACGTATTTGTTGCTGGTAAAATATTCAAAATATGTGGTGCCATGAGTCTGCATACAGGCCTATTTTTGTGTTAAATTAAACGTTTCGTTTCTTTAAAGCAAAAGAAAACAACAGCCGTGGCATGGACAATATTTTCCTGGCAAGTCTACTGTTGGTTATTAATTTTTCGCGCAAAGATTTTCTAAATTAATGTATGCTAAAAAAGAAAAAGAAAGAAAGAGAGCCTCATCTATACTTAGCATACTTTAGGATACCATAAATCGTGGAAAATAGGCCTGTATGAAAATAAATGTTAAATTACAATATGTTAAAAATTATTATTCCAGTAACACAATCCATTTTAAACTTTATTCAACTATTTTATTAATAAACAACCAAACGACGGCGTGTCCGAGAAACAGAGCGCTCGAATTTTACCCGAAAGTCTCGAGTTGGAATCTCATGTTGTCCGACATAGGCTTTTGTTTTGTTTTGCTCTCCCAGACTTAAAAGGGTTAAACTGAACTATCATTTTATGCTCGGTGTTACGATAATGGGAAGGGAGGGAAGGAGACTAAGAAGTAAAAATCTAAAATAACAAGATGTCATTTATGGGTTACCCTCACCGCTAGCACAACTTTGACTAAAACTAATTATGTCTAAACTTAAGCCTAAGCCAATGAATTTAGTTAAATCAAGCCCGCGTGTTCTCCCCCCCCCCCCCTACCCCTCCTAGGGCACTGACTTTCCATGAACATTAACTCTTTAAAAAACTCTCCCTACTTTTGAATCTTCGCGGAGCCCTCTGTTCGGAAACTGACACGCTCAGTCCCTATCACTAAGGCCAGGTAATTTATTATCTCGATAATGAATGCAGCTGATTGATAAGTTCTTACACCGGCTACATCTGGTTAGAAAAACACATCCTAGCAATCAGCTGACGAACACACACATGTTTTCACCAACTTCGTTGTTTTTCTCTTGGTCTCATTGTCTTATTCAACGAGGACATTTCTCAATCATGTACATAAAAGAATACGGTGAACAAGTAGGTTTTTTTTTTGTAATTTATATCGATAATTGTGATACTAGGCTAAGAAAACTTTATCTTAAACAATTCATCCACCAGCAACTTAGCAACTTGAATACGTAAACATGGTTTAGTCTAAGTTTGATGACCTTTGTATTTGTCTCATCCCTTCAACATGTGACGCTTCATGAACTTTAAATGTAAATCGTGGCTAGCATAATTTTTTTTATTTTACTTTTTAAATTGAATTTAGATATTATAATTATATTTATGTCCTATCATGCGATTCCACCCAGCTATGTTACACTGAGGGTGAAATGTCTGTGAAATAAATCCTGGACGTAGGAGTTTAACCGCTAAAAGGTGTTGTCTAGAAGAGCCAGGATACGGAAAATCTATCAGGTACGAGAAAATTTCCAAAGTGCACATGTAACATGATCCTGATATGATCGCTATGCTAGGCTAGAGCTAGCTCGGGCTGTTCTCTACTGTTTATTCTTATTTTAATTCTATAAGCCAATTTACATATGTATGGAGAATAGATATTTCTTTTAAAAAGGGGAAATGGGTGGTTGGGGAAATTTTGTTCTGAAAACATTTTTCAGTTGTATACAATACAATTAGATTTTATAACCCCATATTTATATCTACAGGTATGATGTAAACTACACTTGGTTAAAAATTTCATAAAAAAAACTTTTTAATAACAAGTTTCTATGTAATAATTCACTAAAAATGAGAAAATAAATTATAGACTACTATTTAAATAAATATAAAGAACAGCGTGGGCCACTTTAGTATCTATTAGATACCTTTACTAATATTTAGGAAGAGAAAGCTTGTTATTAAAACGTTTTTTATGAAATTTATTTTAGTACTTTACATGTTTTATTTACAATAGAGTTACATGACTAAAAACAATTGCGCACCAATTGAACGTGATGACGCCCTATTGAACGTGATGACGCGATATAATAGCGCGGAATAGTTTGATGAGAATAGTTTGACTACTAATTTGGTCACAATTTTAATTAATTAATAAAAAAATTAATTAGGCAACCAATTAAGACAAAATTAATGTCATGTTGCATTGTCTCCTTGTCTTGACCCACGTACCAACTACGAACCGTATCTGTCAGTTAGAAGTGCCTGTAATTTCGCTAGGGTGTTTTGATCTTAACTGACGACAGACTGACGACAGACAAAGGAAGTGAGTTAAATAAAAGCTTGTAAAAATATAGCAAGAGTGTACCGATGAAAATATTTGAAACTCTGACAGATATGGAGGAAACAGGCACCAAGGGACTGTGTTTGGTCTTGCTTTTCCTGGACACCCTGCTCTTCGGTCTGCCGCCATACCTGCTGGTCAGGGAGAGCAGCCAGACCGGCAGGTCAGCACACATCCGGGCTCTGGTCATCTCCTACCTGACCTGCTTCGCTGGGGGAGTTTTTCTAGGGGCATGTCTGCTTCATCTGCTGGCGGAGGGGAGGGAGAGCATGGAGAACTATTTCAAGGAGGTGAGGCTTACATGTCTTCTTTGTTGGTTTGGATGTCTTTTTTGTTGGGTTAGATGTCTTCTTTGTTGGGTTAGATGTCTTCTTTGTTGGGTTAGATGTCTTCTTTGTTGGGTTAGATGTCTTCTTTGTTGGATTGGATAAGTTGTCTTCTTTGTTGGGTTAGATGTCTTCTTTGTTGGGTTAGATGTCTTCTTTGTTGGATTGGATAAGTTGTCTTCTTTGTTGGGTTAGATGTCTTCTTTGTTGGGTTAGATGTCTTCTTTGTTGGATTGGATAAGTTGTCTTCTTTGTTGGGTTAGATGTCTTCTTTTTTGGGTTAGATGTCTTCTTTGTTGGGTTAGATGTCTTCTTTGTTGGGTTAGATGTCTTCTTTGTTGGATTGGATAAGTTGTCTTCTTTGTTGGGTTAGATGTCTTCTTTGTTGGGTTAGATGTCTTCTTTGTTGGGTTAGATGTCTTCTTTGTTGGATTGGATAAGTTGTCTTCTTTGTTGGGTTAGATGTCTTCTTTGTTGGGTTAGATGTCTTCTTTGTTGGATTGGATAAGTTGTCTTCTTTGTTGGGTTAGATGTCTTCTTTGTTGGGTTAGATGTCTTCTTTGTTGGATTGGATAAGTTGTCTTCTTTGTTGGGTTAGATGTCTTCTTTGTTGGGTTAGATGTCTTCTTTGTTGGGTTAGATGTCTTCTTTGTTGGGTTAGATGTCTTCTTTGTTGGGTTAGATGTCTTCTTTGTTGGGTTAGATGTCTTCTTTGTTGGATTGGATAAGTTGTCTTCTTTGTTGGGTTAGATGTCTTCTTTGTTGGGTTAGATGTCTTCTTTGTTGGATTGGATAAGTTGTCTTCTTTGTTGGGTTAGATGTCTTCTTTGTTGGGTTAGATGTCTTCTTTGTTGGATTGGATAAGTTGTCTTCTTTGTTGGGTTAGATGTCTTCTTTGTTGGGTTAGATGTCTTCTTTGTTGGGTTAGATGTCTTCTTTGTTGGGTTAGATGTCTTCTTTGTTGGATTGGATAAGTTGTCTTCTTTGTTGGGTTAGATGTCTTCTTTGTTGGGTTAGATGTCTTCTTTGTTGGGTTAGATGTCTTCTTTGTTGGGTTAGATGTCTTCTTTGTTGGGTTAGATGTCTTCTTTGTTGGGTTAGATGTCTTCTTTGTTGGGTTAGATGTCTTCTTTGTTGGATTGGATAAGTTGTCTTCTTTGTTTGGTTATATGTCTTCTTTGTTGGGTTAGATGTCTTCTTTGTTGGGTTAGATGTCTTCTTTGTTGGGTTAGATGTCTTCTTTGTTGGGTTAGATGTCTTCTTTGTTGGGTTAGATGTCTTCTTTGTTGGGTTAGATGTCTTCTTTGTTGGGTTAGATGTCTTCTTTGTTGGGTTAGATGTCTTCTTTGTTGGATTGGATAAGTTGTCTTCTTTGTTGGGTTAGATGTCTTCTTTGTTGGGTTAGATGTCTTCTTTGTTGGGTTAGATGTCTTCTTTGTTGGGTTAGATGTCTTCTTTGTTGGATTAGATGTCTTCTTTGTTGGGTTAGATGTCTTCTTTGTTGGGTTAGATGTCTTCTTTGTTGGGTTAGATGTCTTCTTTGTTGGATTAGATGTCTTCTTTGTTGGGTTAGACGTCTTTTTTGTTGGGTTAGATGTCTTCTTTGTTGAGTTAGATGTCTTCTTTGATGGTTTACATGTCTTCTTTGTTGGCTTGTATGTCTTTTTTGTTGGGTTAGATGTCTTCTTTGTTGTTTTATGACAAACGATCTCAGGAAAAATAATCTTACAAAATATCACAGACAAGGACAAACGATCTTAGGACAAAATTTCACGTTTTTACAGAGAAAATAGAGAGGCATATTTTAGTATATCTTGATATCACCAACCCATTATCGAAGTTAAACATCAGCCTTGATTTCCCCACTTTTACAGGTAAACCTCAGCCCTAATTTCCCCCACTTTTACAGGTAAACATCAGCCCTGATTTCCCCCACTTTTACAGGTAAACATCAGCCCTGATTTCCCCCACTTTTACAGGTAAACATCAGCCCTGATTTCCCCCTTTTTTACAGGTAAACCTCAGCCCTGATTTCCCCCACTTTTACAGGTAAACACCAGCCCTGATTTCCCTACTTTTACAGGTAAACACCAGCCCTGATTTCTCCCACTTTTACAGGTAAACATCAGCCCTGATTTCCCCCACTTTTACAGGTAAACCTCAGCCCTGATTTCCCTACTTTTACAGGTAAACACCAGCCCTGATTTCTCCCACTTTTACAGGTAAACACCAGCCTTGATTTCCCCCACTTTTACAGGTAAACATACGCCCTGATTTCCCCACTTTTACAGGTAAACACCAGCCCTGATTTCCCTACTTTTACAGGTAAACACCAGCCCTGATTTCTCCCACTTTTACAGGTAAACATCAGCCCTGATTTCCCCCACTTTTACAGGTAAACCTCAGCCCTGATTTCCCCCACTTTTACAGGTAAACCTCAGCCCTGATTTCCCCCACTTTTACAGGTAAACACCAGCCCTGATTTCCCCCACTTTTACAGGTAAACATCAGCCCTGATTTCCCCCACTTTTACAGGTAAACATCAGCCCTGATTTCCCCCACTTTTACAGGTAAACATCAGCCCTGATTTCCCCCACTTTTACAGGTAAACATCAGCCCTGATTTCCCCCACTTTTACAGGTAAACATCAGCCCTGATTTCCCCACTTTTACAAGTAAACACCAGCCCTGATTTCTCCCACTTTTACAGGCAAACATCAGCCCTAATTTCCCCCACTTTTACAGGTAAACACCAGCCCTGATTTCCCCCACTTTTACAGGTAAACATCAGCCCTGATTTCCCCCACCTTTACAGGTAAACATCAGCCCTGATTTCCCCCACTTTTACAGGTAAACATCAGCCCTGATTTCCCCCACTTTTACAGGTAAACATCAGCCCTGATTTCCCCCACTTTTACAGGTAAACCTCAGCCCTGATTTCCCCCACTTTTACAGGTAAACATCAGCCCTGATTTCCCCCACTTTTACAGGTAAACATCAGCCCTGATTTCCCCCACTTTTACAGGTAAACATCAGCCCTGATTTCCCCCACTTTTACAGGTAAACATCAGCCCTGATTTCCCCCACTTTTACAGGTAAACCTCAGCCCTGATTTCCCCCACTTTTACAGGTAAACATCAGCCCTGATTTCCCCCACTTTTACAGGTAAACATCAGCCCTGATTTCCCCCACTTTTACAGGTAAACATCAGCCCTGATTTCCCCCACTTTTACAGGTAAACATCAGCCCTGATTTCCCCCACTATTACAGGTAAACATCAGCCCTGATTTCCCCCACCTTTACAGGTAAACATCAGCCCTGATTTCCCCGTGTTTGAGGCCGTGTCCGCCATTGGATTTTTTCTAATCGCCTTGGTTGAAGAACTGGCCCACAAGTTTTTGATGCCGTCCCCTCCTCCCCCGAAGAACGAGACAGGACCTCTCAAAGAGAGATCCAAATCCAGCGTGTCGCTAAAAAACCACATTCCAAGGTACGCCTGCTTTCCTCTGTTTCACATCTTTTGTCGTAGATCGAAATTAAGTACAGAGTTTCTTCCAGGCATCTTTTCGAAAAAAATTTACCGCCCCCCCCCCCCCGAACGAAATGAAATTTAAATAATTTATATAGAAAATATATACTTTTAGCAGTGTCCGCCCCCTCCGAAGAAAGTCTACCGCCCCCCCGAAAATTTCAAGTGCCTCCCCCCCCCCCCCCCCCGGAGAAAAAAGTCTGGAAGAAACACTGATTATGTATTAATTAGATTAGTGGACCAGAACTGCCAAAATTAACATTCGCGTTATTATTTACAACGCCAATTAATTTAGTTTACTGCTGTTTAGCAAAAGGGAGATAATTATGTGGTAAAACTACTAGTGGTGGTCATACGACGAGTTATGTGACCTGGTGTTGATTACACATCTCGGAAGCGTAATAAGGGAGTAATTTTACAAGGCAAATTCAGCGTTCTTTCAAAAGCACACTTTTTAAAATCAAAATGTGTTTCGACTTAAAATTTAGATCGACTAGGGAAAAATAAATAAAACAAATAGATTTTTAAATTTAAGATGTTGATTTACTGTTATAACATTAAAATATCCAAACAGGCGCTACCAAACGTATAAAATAAAAATAAAACAGGCTTGATTTTGATTGCGCTCAAATGATTTTCAAGAACAATTTCTGACTGTTCAACAAAGTGACGTCCCCTTGCTAAAGCTGTAGTGGCACCCTAAGGTCAATAGATGTAGATGCAGCGTAAACACGGTAGCTATTTCACGGGTCTACGACAAGTTCCCGAAAGACACTTGCCCGAAGGCCGTTTTCTCGAAAGGACACTTGCTCGAATGCGACAAATGCCCGAAAGTCACTTGCCCGACGGCAAGTGTCCATTCGAGAAAACGGCCGATGGTTTTGGGTGTATTGATTCGACAGCCATTACGTAGATAACAATGTATTCAAACGCTTGTTTTTGGATAGGTTCGCTCAGACACGATAAAAGGAAGAGCGTAAATCGCTGTCAGCTGTATTCATACCCTGACTTTGATAACCTCTTCTTATCACTTCATGTCTCGATACAAGCACTATAAGCGTAGTAATCTTACATGTCTCGATAAAACTATTCTCAGTATAGCAAGCATACTAATCTTATATATGTCTCGATAATACTATTCTCAGCACTAGAAGCGTACCAATCTTCCATGTCTCGATAAAACTATTCTCAGCACTACAAACGTACCAATCTTACATGTCTCGATAAAACTATTCTCAGCACTACAAGCATACCAATCTTCCATGCCTCGATAAAACTGTTGTCATCACTTTTAAAGTACCAACTACAGCGAGAATGTGGATCTACTTATTAAAAGCAGCATTGATAGACTCTTCTGTCCCCTAGCAGCACTGACTTGAACTCAAATATGAACTAGCGACCCAAATTATCAGCCTTGTGACCCCAGACTACTTAGTAATGTCACAGATAGTGGCTATAGAACATTTGTAATTTGTGATACGTTTTCATAGACCGTGATAATCTTCCATCGTGTAACTTTCATTGTGTGATTTTCCAATACCTCGGTCATACATCATACGCAATGATTGCAAGTGTACCGCATTGTTTTTTAAATACAAGACTTTTTATGAAAATAAATAAAAATAAATTCTTTATTTAACTTTTTTATTTAGCGAACCGCTGTTTTCATACAATCTTTATATAATTTAGTCTTATGAATGATTTGTAAAAATGTAATATTTTTCTTGAGTACAAGCATATTCTGAAATTTGATCATATCTTTTTTTTAGTTCGAACGAACCAAACTTGGTGAGTTTTTCAAAAAGTAGGAATTTCTCAATATGCAGCACTGATCAAACCTATAATACGTTCGTCAACCCAAATTACGTTGCCAACAATGCACCAAAAGAAAGTAGTACCCCAGCCGATACTGCACAAGCCGCTAAAGGTATTGACCACGGGAATGTTATTATCGGACTATCGCAGTCTGAAGTTCAGAAGTCTACTTCTTTGGTAAGCAACAAAAACGAAAGGAATAAAGAAAAAGGTAAGAAAGTTCGAGCTAGAAGTTTAATTCATAAAAATAATAACAGGAATTTGAAGAAAAAATTTTTTTGTTGTTGTCTAAAACATGACATTGAAAATAATTATTGGAAGTTAAAACACCAAGTAGAATAGAATCAATCGCCTATAAATCTATTATAATAAAGTGATTTGAATCTCTTTAGAGGCAAGCAGTGATAACACGGACAGTGCTCTGGTCGACGCCCTCGAGACACTTCCGGTCAACCCACTGAGGGCTTTCTTGCTACTCGGGGCTTTGTCCTTTCATACGATCTTCGATGGGCTTGCTGTTGGTCTACAGACAGACGTTACAAGCATTTGGGAGGTTCGAGACCTTTCTATTTCATATTTGTTATACACGTTCATTATCAGCTCTCGTGCAGACCGCATCGCGATTTAGTTGCGAGCCTTTAATCCCAGCCGCTCCTGGCCCCTCAGTTTTTACTAAAGTTTTCCCTGTTTCTCCATTATGTTACATCCATGATTAGGGGGGAAAAATGTAGGGGGATGGGACGGGTAGGTCATGATCCAATTAATAGGCACTGGTCTCGTGACTTTCAAGTTAGCCAGGTCATGCTCTACGTCTTGACCACCCCCTGATATTGCAGGAATAGATTTCCCTATTGTGCAATAGAAAATGTATATCACTTTTGGACCCTAAACTTTGGGGCCCCTGGGCCCAGCCCTGTCCTCCCCCCCCCCCACCTTATCCGCTACTCTTCTTGGCTGTAGGATCAAGGGATTAAATAAAACATCATCATCACTCAAACCTCAACCACCTAGAAAACACAATCATCCCCAATCCTACCCATCCAAAAGACACAATCATCCCCAACCCTACCCATCCAAAAAAACCCACAATCATTCCCCCATTAAAAAAACACAATCATCCCCCAACCCTTACCCATTGAGAAACATAGCCCTCACCTATTCAAAGAAGATATAATAAAATACTTAAAAAAAACTTTTTAAAAAACCACGTTTTTCTTGTGGACTAAAATGTAGAAAATAAATTTTTCTTTTGTGCTTCCTCGAGCTGTGCAGATTCTTGTGATGACTGACAAAAAACGTGGGTACGTTCACCATCAAATTTCCCGACCCATCTGCCCGACCCACGTTTTTTGTCAGTCATCACAAGAATCTGCACAGCTCGAGGAAGCACAAAAGAAAAATTTATTTTCTACATTTTAGTCCACAAGAAAAACGTGGTTTTTTAAAAAGTTTTTTTAAGTATTTTATTTTCTCCTTTTTAGTCCGTTGCTACACATGAAAAACGTGGTTTTTAAAAAAGTTTTTTATATAGTTTATTTTCTACTTTATCTAATGACTTGATTAAGTATGACTTGACTAAGTGTTTATAAATACACGGACTAAAAATCTTGAGCGACCAGGATTCGAACCTGGGTTGTCGCGGCCACAACGCGAAGTACTAACCACTATACGATCACGGCCAGCGCGCTCTCATCGATTGGGGCCGAAGTAACTGTCTCAATAGGCCTCCAGTCTTGTCGGTATCTTTAGAAATCATGTCCTCAATTTTATGGTCCTTGGGGCGTAATTAAATTAAGCTAATTACGGTCTCTAATTGCTAGTTTTTATGATTGCATCTGAAATTGTTAGGCGAAAGTAGCCTACATGCCAAATTTCAGATCCATAGAGCAATCAGAAGTGGGCTAATTTTCGATGTCAATTTTAACAACAAACATCCAAACAAACAAACGCGAAGCTGAGTTAAGAAAAACGTGTTAAAAATTACATGTCTGTAGGTCCGAATGTATTTTTCATCGAAAGGGGAGCGAACTACCCTAGTATATTTCAACGTGAGAACAAATAATTTGTTTCATTTACAAGTTTTAAAAAAAGTTCCAATTTATTTGGGAGCGGGTTCTCTATCAGCATGTTATTTCTCAGATGTTCGCGGCCATCTTTATCCACAAATCTCTGGTCGCGCTGTGTCTTGGCATGCAATTGTTCCTGGTCTTCAAGTCCAACCCGCTCAAAGCGTTTGTCTGGATTTTTATTTTCGCCCTCATCTCACCCGTCGGTGTTGGTAAGTAAAGGCTTAATTAATCTGTAGCTTTATTAGTCCATTGCGTGTAATTAATTAATCCACTGTGTGGCCCACAGGCGTAGAGACGCTTCCCGGCGCCCGAGGACAAACTTTCAATTTGGCGCCCCCATCGGGAGCAACCTATCAATTTTCAATTTGCACCCCCTCCTCAAACTTTCGATTTGCACCCTCCCCCCCCCCCTCCCCAAACTTTCGATTTTTACCCCCCCCCCTCAAACTTTAAATTTGCACCCATTTTGGCGCCTCCTTAGATCGGCGCCCGGGGACATATGTAACCCCCCCCCCCTCGCTATGTCTCTGATGTGGCCTTTTTATCTCACAATAAGTAAATTAATTAATCCACAGTATGTAACTCAAGTAAGCCTCTCCATACAGCTTAATTAATCTAATAGGTTTAGCTTAATTACCCTAATTTAATAGACTCACTACATGAAGTTTAACTAACCTAATGTGTATAGCTAGATTTTATTCTTGTTATTCGTTTTAAATCTAATTTCGGAAGTTGGGTGAACGGGATGGGTCATAAAAATAAAAGAAATGTAAAGAATTATTTAGTATATATTGTATGGTTTCAGGGCTAGGGATGGGCTTGACCTCAAGTCACATTGACCAGCTGGCCGAAGGTCTGGTCAGTTGGATCCTGCAGGCTATCGCCACTGGCACCTTCATGTACGTGACGTTTTTTGAGATTCTCAGGGAGGAGCTGGCCGAGAAGAGGGGATTGTTGCGTCTGGCATTGGTAATCCTGGGCTTTGGTGGGATGGCGTTGGCCAAGTTCTTTGACCGGGATTAGAGTGTCTTGACTTCATTGTAACTGGTTTTAGCATGTGCTCGAGTTCATGGTAACTGGGATTAGCATGTGCTTGACTTTAACTGGGATTAACCTGCGCTTGTGTTCAATGTAACTGGGATTAGCCTGTTCTTGGCTCTATTGTAATTGGGATTAGCCGGTGCTTCACTTCAATGTAGCTGGGATTGACTTTATTATGAGTGACAGCTGAGCTTGAGTTCTTTGACTAGGGTTCGCCTGTACTTTAATTTTGGTGATTATAATAAACCAGTGACTAAATTCATTGTGACTAAAATTACCCAGTGCTTGAGTTCATTCTTACATGGATTAGTCTGTGATTGAATTCACTGTGTTTGATATAATTGTGATCAAGATTAACATGTGCTAGACTTAATTGTGAGAAGGATTAGCGTGTGTTGACCACATGTTGGAATTCAATGTGTCACGTTTAGCTGTGTTGGACGTCTGAACTCGTCCACCCTAATTCTACCAGTTAAAACGTTGATTTTGTAGTAAAGATATTTTGTTGGATTGGATTGATTCACTCGCGTATTCTGTTACAAAACATTAGGACTAATCCAAATGTGGTGATACTTTATTTCAAGTTTTAGTTTTCACAAGCAGCTAAATCGCACATAGGACAATAATTTATCGTGCATGGATCCAGTATATAAAATAAATCACGACATTTGTTTGCCTTACATTGATAGTTTCAACAGAAATGTGTTATTTATATTGTGAAATAATTTATTGTAACCTTCAGATCAAAAAGACACTTCCTAGTTGAGTTCGATATCGCCAGGCGAAAGTGCAACACTTCGTTATATAGAGATCTACATACGTAAATATTAAGGCTTATTTAAAATTGGTGACAAACACAACGTTCTGGTTAGCATTGTCATACATGTTTGATTTATATTTTTGTGTTGATATTGGTCTTCACGTTTTGATGTCATAAAACCACATCATGGGACAAATTCATACAAGATATTCATTCAAATAACGGTGTTTAAAAAATTGGACGGTGCAACATTATTGTAATATACATAATTTACACTGTTTTCACAACACCAAAAATTGCATTTAAATTATGAACAAAAATGTTAATCCTCAAAGTAGTTATAAAATGCAACGTGTCATTGTTCAAGAATAAAATTCTGTGTTTTATATATACTATTATATACTATTATTATTTTACTAGAAAAATGGCCCGTTGAGGAAGGATACACCGGGCGCTAGGTTGATAGTGCTGTCTCTTTTCTCTAAACAAAAACCACCCCCCCCACACACACCACCCCCATCCCCACCCCCCCACCCACACCACCCCCCACCCCCCCCCCACACATCACCCCCCACCCCCACCCCTACACACACCACCCCACACACACACCACCCCCCACCCCCCACCCCCCCCCCCCCCCAAAAAAAAACATGTCTACCGTCCCATTCAACGAAATATAATTATATACTTTTTCCAGTGTCCGCCCCCTCCCCGAAAATTCTACACCCGCCCCCGAAAATTTCAAGTACCCCCACCCCTCTCCGGGGAGGAAAAAGTCTAAATTAAAACCACCCCCCACTCACCCCCCACCCCCCCCCCCCACACACACCACCCCCCCACCCCCCACCCACCCCCCACCCCCCAAAAAAAAGCATGTCTACCGTCCCATTCAACAAAATATAATTATATACTTTTTCCAGTGTCCGCCCCCTCCCCGAAAATTCTACCCCCGCCCCCGAAAATTTCAAGTACCCCCACCCCTCTCCGGGGAGGAAAAAGTCTAAATTAAAACCACCCCCCCCCACTCACCCCCCATCCCCCCCACACACCACCCCCTCCCCCCACCCCCCACCCACAACCCCCCCCCCCCTTAAAAAACATGTCTACCGTCCCATTCAACGAAATATAATTATATACTTTTTCCAGTGTCCGCCCCCTCCCCGAAAATTCTACCCCCGCCCCCGAAAATTTCAAGTACCCCCACCCCTCTCCGGGGAGGAAAAAGTCTAAATTAAAACCACCCCCCACTCAACCCCCCCCCCCCCCCACCCCCACCCCCCTCAGACGTTCTTACGCGGGGGGTGGGGCTTCGCCCCTACCCGAAGAATTGTATGCAAGAAACTCTTCACGCAAACCATTTAGATTAGACATTTCCTGTTTATTCAATGTTTACGCGATAATCAATGACGTCATTACTGTGTGCACTTTCCGCCTTGAGATTATTTTCAACTTTAATATGCTAAATGTGTCGACGTCATATTTCGTTTTTCGAATTACTGTGCATGTTTTTATTTTGCTTGTGTTTTCTCTAGAGCGTTCTTGTCAGACAGATAGACAGATAGATAGAGAGACAGCGAAACTATTAGTATTAATTTTATACAAAATTTAACACGTTTTATTATTTATATAAAGTACTAAATCGTATTTTAAATCTTTTTTCTCGACCTCAAAAAGTGAGGTATCTGTACTTTAACTATTTAAGGGGTCGTCCATTAATGACGTCAAACAACGAGAAAGGTAATACATTTTAACAATGTTCTACATGCTGTAGTGTAGGTTCAAGAAGTATGACGAGACATACTTGTTTTATTTTTTTCTAAGTGACGTCAATTTAGAGGGAGGAGTCTGGCATTGAGTGACGTGCCTTTTAGTGTGGAGAGAAAAAGTCGGTTAAATTACATGATATTTTTAATAGACGATACACCAAACGTGGATATTGTGTTCTCTGACAAGGTGGATAACTTACTTATTAATCGTCTTTTTTAAAAGTCTTGGTTATCTTTCCTTTGGTTAAAACACGCGTTATTGTTCCTGTATAAAACCTTGTATATAAGTTATTTCTGTATTTAAATTATCCATGTTATTATTAAAATAAAATAAAAATTATGAATAACTTTGCTATTTAAATGACTTTTGTACATACTTGTGAAGTTCTCAGTATTAAACACATCACTCGGCGTGTCTCACAGTCCAGTATATCAAATCATCCATGTATCAACTAATGTTTGCTACTTACTGACATTCATCAGACAGACATCTTAGAATACCTTTTAACCAGATTTTTAAAATTGACATCGAGGCATGTAAAACTAAATCAGCTGCCGAAAATGAAAAAGCTATGCTTTTAAACTCCAGTATGTATGTTTTTTTTTAAAATTTAAGTCTCACTTTTCGCAAGGATATCTGGCTCTCACAATCCCAATTTTTAAATTTTTTCCTGCAAGTGCCAGGTTTTCAACGTGGATGAAATATGGCCAGAAAAAATTATCCAGAGACCACATGTGGCAAATAAAGAAATATGGGTACGCATGGGTAAGTTGGAGAGACTAGCTTAGGACTGATATGCTTGGAAAGTTCTCGTCAGCGGCCTATGTCTTTGGTGGGGCGACAGGCTAACCCAACCCAACCTAACCTAACCTAACCTGTGGCAAATCACAGTCCATAGACAGGGACATTCAAGCCAGCAAGGGGGGTCGGGCACGTCCTGAGAAGGTGAAAACTGAACAAGACAGGAGGGGTATTGGAACCCACGGAGGTGAGAAAAAGGTGGCTGGCCTAATAAATCATGGAAGGTGAAGCAAGGCCTTCAGGGTTTACATTGGCTCAATAAAAGAGAGCTGCCCAAATACAGAGTCCGATAGAAAGGTGTAGCTGCAGTCCTTTGCTACTCAGGGGCCTCGCATAATTAAGTCAAGTTGGTCGAGTAACGTAGCTGTGTTTTCTCAAGGAATTAGTGCTCACTAAGGAATCAAACACCTGAAAATACGCTCGACAAAACTACCCTACACAGAAAATACTTTTCTAAGTTTTTAAATGACAGCGTAACATATACAGCACATGGTCGTGTTTTTTAAATAACCGTAACAAAACGTGTACTCTAAATGACAAAAGGAACCAAAAAATTCACACAAGCACTCGTGTTAACGTTTAGTTAATACCATTTTTAAAAAAAAAACAAGCAAAAAAAAAAACAAGATTGTAAATATATTTTCTTTTCATATCACAATTTATTTCTTCAACGAGAAGGTTGAATTTTAAAAATGTAATTTACGAAAAGTTTAAAAATTCAAGTTGTATCAGTTCAGATATAGATCTACATTTTATATTTATATCGACATACTTGCAAATGTCGGATCAACTTTTTAAACGTTCCATTCTGAGGCTCAGGGTAAGAGAGGGGCCAGTACTCTAATGAACAAACTGGATACTGGTATCATGATATGCCATTTCAACCTCTGTTTAAAAACAAAAATAAACACTTACTAAGCATTTTTACAGTCAAAATATATCTCTACCATTACAAAAATTACAGATAAACATACATTATGTAAAATTATTCTAATGAATTTTAAAAGTTAAAAAGTTCAAAATAGCAGATTATATCAGGAAAATGTTTTACTTCTTGTAAAGGTTATTTATGTTAAATGTACGCTAATATACTATGATTTTACTTTGTTTCTTACAAAATGGAAGAATAATGTAATAATTCTATTTTGAAAAATGTATTAGCTATTCTTAATCGTACATTTTTTTAAAATTATAGATTTTTATATTTGGTATTGTGCTCTTTTTCAGAATGCAGAGAACTTTAAAAGTCTTTTAAACACAAAAATGACTCAGATAAAAAAAAGGAAAATTGCACGGTTTAAAATGTAAACGTTAATCTATTTCAAAATACAAGGATTATTTAATATAAATCAAGTGTATAAAACGAAAGTCAATTCTATTTTCGAAAAAAATTCAAAAACAAAAAAATGTTTTTATACTCACCTAGGTTCTAGCTAATTGTGGACAAGAAATCCAAACCATTCTGGCAATAGAACGTAATTATGTCATGTTTCTTTTTGCTCTGAGTCGTCTGTACACTTAGACTTACCAGATTTTACACTATGGCAATAGAACGTAATTATGTCATGTTTTTTTTTTTGCTCTCAGTCGTCTGTACACATACACTTACCAGATTTTACATTATAGATAAACCTCTACTTGACCCTTGCCCTGTTTAATTTGTGACTTGTAATCAATTTTTGCCACTTATCCCCCTAAGCTAGTCTCATTGTGGCGTAGCTAGGTAGGGAGCTGTGGGGTTCCAACCCCGAGTGCCAAAGTTTGTTGCTGCCCGCAGTTGTTTAATACCTTTACAGCTGGAGTTACCTCATGCGGCGATGCCACCATTTAATTGGGCCGTGATAAGGGGAGGAGGGGGAGGGGGTGAATCATGTTTAAAAAGTGATTTACGTAAATCAAGTGACAATACTCATGTAAAACGTGAAATGCTAGTCTTGGTGTGATGTGAAACAATAATACACCAACGATCTCAAAAAAGTGATAGACAAATGATCCTTGAGAAACCTCGAGAAACTTGGGCACCAGAATTAGACGTACAGTATCGTCGGAATTCAAAGCCGTTACAATAGAACCTCTAGCTTCAAATTGGTTTCCGCAATACATAAGCACATCAAAATGGCTCAAATTTATAAACATACAGAATATACAAATGTGTGTTGCCTTCACGTATGGTTGGGTAGTCTTCGTGTACTCTGACGTCACATTCTCATGGGTAGTCTTCATGTACCGTAACATCACATTCTTGTGAGTAGCCTTCATGTACCCTGGCATCACATCATTGGGGGTAGCCTTCATATAGCGTGACATCACATTCTCGTGGGTAGTCTTCATGTAGCGTGACATCACATTCTTGTGTGTAGCCTTCATATAGCGTGACATTACATTCTTGGGGGTAGTCATCATTTATCTTCAAATCACAATCTTGGGGGTAGCCTTCGTGTACCGTGACATTTGAAAACAACGTTGACCATAATGATTCTATCTTATAGACGAGTTGAATCATACTGGTAGACCGACTTATCGTGTCCGCGCAGTGTTAAAATCTGGTAAGCAGATAACTCTTCAAAAGTCTCACACTTTACCTGCAGACGTCTTCAGTGCCAGACGATACTACAGTGGTTCTAAATGGCAAGACGTAATTTAAAGTAAACCTAAGTTTATATTCATGCATTGTTCAAATAACGAGGTATAGACCTTTAAGCCGAAGTTTTCAAAAATTGATCTTTAGACTAACGTGAACTTATTATAGGTTTAAACGCAAAATCCAACAAAAATCTTTCAAAAAGCATAACTTGGCAATGTAGTGAAACAAATTCTAGATAACCGTGAGACGAATAATATCATAACGAAACAACCAATCTTAAAACTCGAACAACCATCAACACATTGATCCTTACCCATCCGCCGCCTAATTCTCAGTTGGTTCGCTATTTTAAAACAAATTTCAAATATTAGAAATTGTAACTTGAATGCTGCTAGTTAATACAGCGCATTAACAAAAGAAACAAATATTTAACACAACTATTTGTTAGGTCATTGTATTTTTTTTGTAAGTCGCCAAGACTTTAAATTCTTTAAAGTATTGTTCCAACCCCCAAATTTTCCCCCCTTTTTAAAAATTGAACTCAAAATTTTGAAAATTATACCACTTTTGATAAAGAACATTTATTAACAGTTACACTTTACATTATGCTGATTAAATATGCATTAATTATGTTTATCTTTATCTCGTATCAACAGTCGAGTAATAAAAAGAACATCCATTATTAAAACAATATACAATTATTTTTTTTTTACATTAGATAAATGTCATCGTTTTAGCAGTTTTATAGCAAACAGCAGTTTGAAATTAGAATCTAGTAAAATCTTGCACTCTTAAAATCACGAAGGAAATAAGTCAACAAAATGTGTATTAATTGGTGAAAATGTTATTGCTGTTGCAGATGTCTTTGTGGTGTTACGTAAGAATATCCTTATGTGTGCGAATTTTCTAGAAGTAAAATCCATTAAATTCTGACAAGTATGCAATAAATGGGTACTTTTGATTAAATTAATATTTACAAAAAATGACGTTAGATACAGAAAAAAAGTATTATAGCAAGGCAGTAGGAACTAAAAGTTTAAAAGATAATAGGATTATAATCAGGATAGGGTGATACACATCTTATTATAACAAGGATCAGATGAAACACAACTTATAATAATCTTATAATAATCTTATATATCACTCAGAGACAGGGTGAGCCGTATAATTAAGGCTCTGTTTAATTATCACAGGACTAATGCGATATTTTGGCAGGAAGTTAATGATGAAGAAACTAAGAGGGAAATTATATACACGTGAAATACATTTTGTTAAAAGAAAGTCACATACAAATGCAAAAGGTATCTTAACTGTTGTATGTCTAGTTGTGTGGGGGAATGTGGTGACGTTTTTTACCTGTAGGTATGTACCTATGTGTAATATATCCATGTATACAAATTATATAAGCATGCATGTATATCAACATGTATCGATGTTGTTAAGTTAAACTATTTCAACGAGAATTTAGACGCTGATATTGTAACCACATAATTTTGTTTGGTTAAGTTAAACTATTTCAACGAGTGTTTGGACTTTGATATTTCCTATAAAAATTTATTATTAAATAAAACACAACTATTGCTTGTGTTTTATCGTAGGCTTATATCATTACTAGCTGCATACCGTGCTCCGCCACGGTAAATCTTTTTTAAATGTATCAACTTGGGAACAGAACTTAGATACTTAGAGATACATGTGTAAACTTGTATAATCACATTAGCCTATCAACTATCAATTATAAAAATAATCTCAAATTATATATTTAAAAATAAAATAAAACAATAACAGTTAATAAGTATACAATTAATGGTTAACAAAATGTTAGAAAATGTTAATGTGAAAACTCGCACTGCACATCAATGAAGTGAAACGAAATATAAGACCACACGTGGAATAATGTCATAAAGAATGTTTGTTTTTGGAAATATTTAGAAAAGTGTTCATCTTTTTTTTAAAAATAGAGCCCACCCCCACGTGTCAAAAAGTAAATGCAATTAAAAAATAGGAGGATATTAACAAAAACAAAAGGTGATCCAAATTATTTTGCTCTCTCCCTAATTAGTTTATTGCAAAAATAAATAAAGCGTACTAGTTCATTTACTTTGGAAGAGCCACGTCATACTTATTTGTTTATGTTTGTGACTTACATTCGAGTGAACACTTTTCCCTTTATTATTGTTTTGCCCACCTCTCCCAAAAGTAGAATGTGGCTATATAAACGCCCACGTCCCCTCAACAATTTGCAAAGCTTTTAAAATTTATCTTTGAATTTTAAAATATGTTTTGAGGTAATTTTATAATTCCAATATGGAAGTCTTAACATTAAAGTAGGATAATAATCTTTAGTTTTCACAGTTAAAAGAATATGGTATGTAGGTGTTGATAGAAAAAAAATGTTATTAAATTATCCTGTGATTGGGAAAAAAATTAAAATTAAATCACTCGTGAAATAAAATAAAAAAACAGCCAACTCAACATCTGAAAATCACCTGAAGGGGGCGGGGTGCTTGACGACCTTGACATGCTCAGGCTTGTGGGCCTTGAGCTTGACCTGCTGCATCTTAGACAGGAGACCGGCCTGGTACAGCCTGGCGCCGATGGCGGCCGCAGATTTGTGACTTGAGACCTTGACCTTGAGGCTGGTCACTTCCGAGGCCGAGGATTTCCCGTGGTGTTTCCGCGAAGCCTCCGACTTGCTCGTGTCGTCGCCTTCGCCGTTCACCTCCGCGCCTTGACCTTTGCCCAGCATGCCCTTTGACCTGGCCTTGGCTATCGTGTTCCTGGCCACTTCCTTAGGATCCTGGGGCTGAAACGTGACGTCATCGTTAGAAATACTTTATATATATATATACTTTATATATATATATATATATATATATATATATATATATATATATATATATATATATATATATATATATATATTGTATATACTATATACAAATGACTAAATCGGTTTTAATGATAAAAATGTGCAGTTATTCCTAGTCATATGAAAAACAAAATCCTTATTTCTGATATATATTAATAATAACAATAATATTTAAAAGGATTTTGATGTTAATAATAATGCTATTGATAATGTTACTGATTTTGCACAGCTAGTGCTAATAATGATAAAACAATGGTTCTATGATCCTAATAAACATGGATTTAAAGCTGTTGAACTAAACACACTAGATTTATTTTTAGTTATAAAGCTTTACATAAGGGTCATGAAAATATTTGAAATTTTACCCCAAGAAACTATTTTAACATTTAAAGAACAGTAATCCAATATAACGAGAGAAGTATTTAAAGTGTAGTTACCTCCCTTGATATAACAGCAACAAAACAGCCGTTGGCTTTGGATGAAGGCAAAAATCGAACAAACCGTCCATCAACTCCACTCTCGCCCGTGTCAATCTCATCACCAGAGAAAGGTAACACTGGAGGGGTAACCTGCAGATACAAAACATTGGAGGTAACATTGAAGGGGTAACCTACAGATAATAAACATTGGAGGTAACACTGGAGGGGTAACCTACAGACAAAATATCCTGCGAATTCGTTGGCCTAAAACCATCAGAAATGATGTTCTATGGCAACGGACAAATCAACTGCCAGTTGAAGTAGAGATCCTCCAGAGAAAATGGAAATGGATTGGCCACACACTCAGGAAGCCTGTATCCAGCATAACAAGACAGGCCCTCACCTGGAATCCACAAGGCAGGAGGAAGAGAGGCAGACCAAGAAAGACCTGGAGACGTGACCTGGAAGAAGACACCAAGAAGATTGGATACACCTGGGGACAGTTGGAGAGACTAGCCCTGGACAGAGACGTTTGGAAAGCTCTTGTCAGCGGCCTATGTCCCAGTAGGGACGACAGGCAAACATGACAACATGACATGACTCCACTCTCGCCTGTGTCAATCTCATCGCCAGAGAAAGGTAACACTGGAGGGGTTACCTACAGATACAAAACATTGGAGGTAACACTGAAGGGGTAACCTACAGACAAAATATTGGAGGTAAGACTGGAGGGGTAACCTACAGACAAAATATTGGAGGTAACACTGGAGGGGTAACCTACAGATACAAAACATGGGTTACCTACAGATACAAAACATTGGAGGTAACACTGGAGGGGTTACCTACAGATACAAAACATTGGAGGTAACACTGGAGGGGTTACCTACAGATACAAAATATTGGAGGTAACACTGTGGGGGGGGGGTTACCTACAGATACAAAACATTGGAGGTAACACTGTGGGGGGGGGTTACCTACAGATACAAAAGATTGGAGGTAACACTGTGGGGGGGGGGGGGTTACCTACAGATACAAAACATTGGAGGTAACACTGTGGGGGGGGGTTACCTACAGATACAAAACATTGGAAGTAACACTGGAGGGGTTACCTACAAATACAAAAGATTGGAGGTAACACTGGAGGGGTTACCTACAAATACAAAACATTGGAAGTAACACTGGAGGGGTTACCTACAAATACAAAAGATTGGAGGTAACACTGGAGGGGTTACCTACAGATACGACAGTAAACACATTTATATGTAAATACAGATACGGGAAAGCATGGTCGAATGGTAGAGCATAAGAATGATAAACGGAAAGTCTCGAGTTTAAATCCGGGTTCGTCCGTAAAAGTTCCTGAGTCCACCCAGCTCTAATGGGTACCTAACTCATGTTAGAGAAAGCGAAGTCGGCTGAGCATAGTACTGACCATACTATCCCTTCATATGCCGAAATCGCAGAAACAGGTTACAGGTGAACTCTACTTCACTTGCCCACGGACCGTCTGATTCGAAAGGGAATATTTTATGTATACAGATAGGGTTAGAGCTAGTGATGTAGATAGAGCTAGAAAAATGTGTGACGCCTTGTGTCTCTATGAGCGTGTGTCCTTGACCTTCATGTCTGCAAGTGTGTGTGTGTGTGTGTGTGTGAGTGCGTGTGCATGTGTGTGTGTACAGGCCAAAGGTCAACTCACCCTGAACGGTGCCTTCTTGTTGGCTGACGTCATATTGATGTACTCCAAGACCCTGGTCACCACCGACTCGTTCTCAGCCTCGTAGCGGGAGCGGGTGGTGTACACAACGGCCTGAACTTTGGGAACTGGCAGTGGCATGTACACAGTAGATACAATGGGTTATATAGAGTTGTACACAGTAGGTACACAGGTTTATATAAAGTTGTACAGAGTAATTACACGGGTTTATATAGGGTTGTACACATTAGATAATAATGTGGATCTTCAACTGTACACATTAAATACAACTATTCGAATTACACAAGTACATTAGTATATACACAGGTCTGCAAATATACTCAATAAATACACAAGTCTGACTGCATATTTAAACATTTTGAACTCCAACGTCAAAACATGTAGGCCTACACATGTAAATCAGAAAAAAACAACCTACACGTGCACGCTGCCTATGCTAATAAACTGCTCATGCACAAACTATAATACGAGCACCTATCTTACACCTGTACTTGATGTAGTATGACAAACAGGTGATCAAACAGTTGCACCACCAGGTATATGCATGTAGTAGAGAGTTAGAGTACTCACATTTGAGGGCTTGTTTTAACAGTTGTTCGTGTTCTAACTTCAGGTTGCCGATATGGGTTGCACTAGAGTCGGCCTTAGACAGTTCTCCAAGAACTTTCATATCTGATAGAGGACAAACGTGTGTCATAGGACATTCGTGTTTCTTAGGACATTCGTGTTTCTTAGCGAGAGGTGTGGGACATTCCTGTGTCTTAGAGAGGTGTAGGACATTCGAGTATCATAGCGAGAGAAGTGGGAGACCATGATGTCTTAGGTGTAAGACAAGAGTAGGTATCTTGGCGATGGAGGGTAGAAAAATACAGAGGACCACAGCTACTTCACATTTCTAGACGCCCTCGAGAGCTAGCTATAAACTTAACCCACCAAACCTGACCAACCTAAATAATGATCCACATTAACTACTGACCATGGCTCACCTGAACCATGACCCACCTGAAACATGACCCAACAGAACCATGACAACCCACCTAACCCTGGACACACATGACCCACCTGACCGCTGACCCACCTGACCCATGACTCACTCACCTTCTCCTTCACTGACTATAAATTGGACAGGGCTGGTGATGGCGGATTTGCTGCAGTTGGTCGAGATTAAAATGACCTTGACGTTTTTGAACCTTGTATCCTCTGGATCAACATCCATAAAATTATCCATCAGTACTTTCGTATCTAAACATCATGAGTTAAAGACCTTTTGATACCGACAATCTTGTACGAAACTAAAGAATAACAGTAATATTTCTAAAAAGAACACATACAATACAGATATTTATCAACGCATGCCCAAGAAGGATGCTAGCGTCAGCTTTCACAGCATGAATCATCGTCGTTGAAGAATTATTTCAGCAAACAAACTAAAGACACGATGAAGAAGAAATTCTCCAAAGAAAAAGTAGCAGTCAAAGGAAAATCTGAAGACGCAACCTCAAAAAATGACATCACCTGGGTTACCACTGGGGACAGTTGGAGAAACTAGCACAAGAAAGATAAGTTACCACTGGGGACAGTTGGAGAAACTAGCACAAGAAAGATGGGTTACCAATGGGGACAGTTGGAGAAACTAGCACAAGAAAGATGGGTTACCACTGGGGACAGTTGGAGAAACTAGCACAAAAAAGATGGGTTACCAATGGGGACAGTTGGAGAAACTAGCACAAGAAAGATGGGTTACCACTGGGGACAGTTGGAGAAACTAGCACAAAAAAGATGGGTTACCAATGGGGACAGTTGGAGAAACTAGCACAAGAAAGATGGGTTACCGCTGTGGACAGTTAGAGAAACTAGCACACACAAAAAATGGATCACCATGGGGACAGTTAGAGAAACGAATCTAGCGTCGAGTTGTCTGGAAGATTTGTGTCAGCGATTTATTTCTACTGGGACATCAGGTTAACCAGCTTTGACGTATAAGTAAATGTTTACTGTAATTTCCTTATAAATACCACGCAGGTTGAGACAATAGAAAACATAACAAATTACTAAACAAAGACAATTTAAAACTAAAGAGTCCTATTTATTTGACTAAAGAAGATTATGTAAGGTAAGTTAATAAAAAAAACTCCAATTAACTTATACAGGTAAACCCGCATGAAAACTACCTATCCAACGGTGTGTACGAATTGAAAAGGATACTTTTGACGCCCAAGAACTCCAAATTCTTGAGCGCTTTCCTGGCTTTCTCCGGGCTGTCGTTGGCGAACCCCCAGATGTGGCTGTGGGGGGACTTCTTGCGCAGCAGGCTGGCCAGGTGTGCCGTGGACATACCTGTGCCGATGTTGACGTGGATGACGTCCTGTTCCAGACCCAGCAGGTAATGTACGGACTGTGGGGCCAGACAGCTGGACTTGTCCTGTGGGGCGGTGCATAAAGCTTTCTTTAAATAACATTCAAGACTGAAGGCTTCTCTTATAATCATGTAATTTAATGTGATGTTGGAGAAACCCGTTTTTAAATAATATTCAGTGCGTTATGCTTAATTGTTAGTTATTTAAATAATAGTTATATAAAACTACTAGTAACAACAATAAGGTTGGACAAGATGGCAGTTCACAACGGCGGTACTGTTTTTCTATACTAATATATACAGAGAGAGGAAGTTTTTAATTAGATATGTACGTATACATTTGTATTAACACAGAGGTGTTTAGAATACACCAATGAAACTAACATGCTACCTAAATTTAGACCTAACAGTAAATAACTAATGATCTCGTGCTAAGGGTAGTTAACCCAATAGTAACATGTTGTTTAATTCCATCAGCATTCCCCGTCAGTGGCCAAGACTTAAGAGGGAGATGAAATGGAGTTCAATTGTTTCAATAAAAAGGTATAGTGTGATCAGTACTATACCCAGCCGCCTTAGTTTTCCCTAACGTGAGCCAGATACTCATCATAGCTGGGTGAACTCAGGGACAAGAAATCCTACTAACTCAAGTTCGGGATCCGAAGTCTAAACTTTCGAGTTAGCAGTCGTGTGCTTTACCACCCGACCACGTCGTTCCACATTGTTCACAAACTAGCCTGACTCTAACAACAAAATTGTATGAATAGCCACGATTAAAAAAAAATATGTGAATAGCCATGACTAAAAAAAAGTTGTGTGAACAGCCATACCTGCAGCACCAAAAATTGTGTAAATAGCCGTACCTGCAGCACCAAGGCACCGGCCTTGACGTAGTCCGACTCCTTCAGCTTCAGCTGCAGGTGAGGTTGAAAGACCAGGAGATCCGAGCAATGTTCGTCGATTTTGAAAACATCCCCAGTCTCTTCGGTGATGTCCAGCCCGGGTTCGAGTACCGAGTAGCCGTCCATTTTAAGGGCTTCAACAATTTCCTCCACGCTGCTCAAGTAAAAAGAAGAAAATTTAAAGTACAGTACGTTAAAAATCTTGGAAGGCTAGATTTTAGTATATAAAAACATTCCACAACAAACATGTTGCTTGCAAAATATGAACATTAAAACAAAACAATATAAAAGAAAACGTGTAAGTCTCATTATATAAAATAGCTCTATGAAGTATATTTTAAATAATTTTTAAACGTTTGCCGTTTTTAAACAAACAAGAAAGTAATATTAGAACAGAACCACATCTTTGTATTTTATGACAATGCCAAACAAAAAAAACCTAGGGTAATTGGATTTAAAAACATTTTGAATACGGGTCTAGGGCATTCCCCCCCCGCCCGAAATTACGCCCAGTCAATTACCCCCTGAGAAATTACCCCTCCCCCAAGCTTAAGAATCCTGACCCCAACTCTAACTCTAGACATAAATTATATCTTACCTTAATTGAACCCTTAAAAAAAGCCTAAACCTAAGAATTCACCTCAGCCTAAAATTAATACACCAGTGATTTCCAGCGGGGGGGGGGGGGGGGGGGAGGGCCTGTTAGGGGTCATCCATTTATGACGTCCACAATTTTTTTTGGATTTTGGACCCCCTCCCCCCCCCCCCCCCCCCGTCCACAAAAATCTACTTTTTTCCTTATAAAAGTCTATATGCGTCCACAAAAGTCAGTTTTTTTCGGACCCCCCCCCCCCCCCCCCAGCGTGTGGACGTCATAAATGGATGACCCCTTATATTGCGCTGCTGTTGCGGGGGGGGGGGGGAGAGATTATACAGTATAAACCAGAATTCTTCCATACAAGCGAAAGTAAACAAGCGTCCCTGTGGTCTCAAAGGATTTTTTTTATATAGCTGTGTACACCTGCGTACATGACTTTGTTGCTAAGAACAAAATAGGTGAAACTTTACACAGCATCTGTTTTAATACAGTTTATACTGGTTAAAGGGGGGGGGGGGTTAAGATTTAGTTTCAGAAACTAATTACATCACGGGAACAAAAGAAGCTAAACAACTGAGTGTCACATAAAAAAAAGAGTTATTCCAATAAAACTACCAAATAATTGATTCTAGAGATGACTAATATTACAGGAACAAACAAATCCACAAGAAGTAACTGACCTCGTTTTGAACTGGTTGACCCACAAATAGACGGGCGTTTTGCACTTGGTCTCATCCTTGTTCCTGACGTGCTCGGGCAGCAGGTACTCGATGGACGGGGCATTGTTCTTGATCCGCTCCTTGGCGATCACCGACAGGATGCGGGTCTTCAGATTCAGCAGCGCCTCCTCGATCTCGCCGCACAGGCCGTCCAGCTCTTCACCGGGCAGAGCCGTGCGTCTCTGGAACTTCCGGCTCTGGAGGTCGTACAGGATGATGCAGACTAGACTTTGGTCGTCACGGAGCTAAGGGGAGAAGACCATTGCCAGACGTAAGTATCGGTTATAGTAATTTGCCCCTGGTAATGCTAGATTTAATTTTGATTCACTTTGAATTTTTACTTTCATAGCCAGGCTAAACCAAATGGTATCGAGTTGTTGTTTTTATGCCCGTACAGTTGTTATGGTTCAGATTCAGCGTATTGGCGACACTTGGGTCAGAATTGGAGTAATGGTGAGTAGTCGGGTTAAACTTAAGGCCAGGGTTAAGCCGTGCAGTTACTTTGTAGATTTTTAGAACGTCACACAAGACCAATCAATGCATCGCCCTAACAATTTCTGTTTAGTAAACCTGCTCTCGCTTTTTAGAAAAAACACTGGTATCGATACTAGCTAAAAGTAAACTACATTACGATCTGCCCAGTTAATAGTTTCTAAAATTATCGATACAAGGTATTGTAAATTTACACAGGGTTATATCAAAGACTTTTTCAAGGACCTAGAGCAAACACACACACACACACACACAAACATCACACACACACTTCACTCTCCCACACCCTCACGGAGCCAAGCCACACACGCGGAGACCAATGATCCCCCGGAAATAAAAGGATAAACAACTATTTCACGCTAGCCTAGGACGATTGGGCCAGGAGTCATTTCAAAGCCGCTTTCTTAGGTCACCATGGAGAGAGACATACTCGTAACAATCTGACACTCTCAGAGGTCAAGCAGCTTGCGTTCAGTTAGATCCGATTCACGATTTTCTCGGATTGGTCTAAAAACCCTCAGACAAAAGATCATGTTTTTATTTTTTTATTGTCCCCGGAAGAAAGAAATTCAGTGACGTTGAGGCAGTGATTGTAAACTGTAAAAGCTGTGGGAATTTAAAACAATGGCTGGATTTAATTTGAAGTGCTTAGGTTTTTAGGCTGTATAGTTTATCAGGTGACCGGAAAGATGCGCAACGGAAAACTGCGCACAAAAAAAAGTGCACAAGGGCATTTTGTTTTCTGAAATCGAGCATTTATTGACATTGACGAAGAATGAGCACAGGTACATTTGAGCAAAATATAATATTTTCCCATAAAATCTAACAAAATTAAAGGGTATTAGTATCATTCGTTTGTAGTTGCGCATTTTTCTGGGAGCCTGTTTGTTATATTTTGTGTTAAAAATAAATATGTTGTTTATACAATATATATAATATATATATATATATATATATATATATATATATATATATATATATATATATATATATATATATATATATATATATATATATATATATATATATATATATATATATATATATATATATATATATATATATTTTTTTTTTTTGTGTCACTACAAAGTCTTTAGCTTTCCTCCTTTCTTGTATCTTTTAAAATTTTACTCACACTTGAATTTAAAAAAAAACGCACACATACACAAAAAGACAACTTTACTCACATTTGAGTTTTCGAAAAAAAATCCTGTCCGATCCAGAATATCGTGCAAGAGAGTCTGGACTGTGAATAAAAAAAAGTTTCAAAAAATTAAAAATCAAGGCATCGAACTATGTACTAATAATGGCCTATATTTAGCCCCGGCGATTGATCCTAGAGCCATAACAAGCTTGATATGGAAGTGCTGGGCTGTCATTCGGCAGCTTCCCGGGACAAAAGAGCTCCGAACAATGTCTATTGTTTTCTATCATTGGCACGTACTTAAGGGCCGCAACGCTGAAATTAATAGCGCCATGGAGTAAAAAAAATATAGGGCCATTAAATTTTTTTTAAAAATAAAGTGACCACGTCTATGGTATCTATTGCAGCAAAATGTAACCTTGTATGTGTATATATATATGTACGTATATGTATATATATATATATATATATATATATATATATATATATATATATATATATATATATATATATATATATATATATTTGTGTGTGTAGATGTACTGTGGTCGAGATACAATATGTTTTTGTAACTGTTGATCAAAGCCCATGTTTAAGCTTAAATGTGAATTATTGTTTTTTAGCAGAATTTTTATACATAGCCTACACACACACACACACATATATATATATATATATATATATATATATATATATATATATATATATATATATATATATATATATGGCGGGACCATGACACCACTCCCCCCCCCCATCAACCACACCACACTGGCCTCTCTAAAACAAGCTGCACAAAGGTGATCATTAAGATGTGTAGGATAGTTTTACTGCTATTTACTTCTCTTTAGGTAGGACCCAGACAAACCTAACGGAGCTACTTTGGCAGTTTATTCCACTCTAGGTAACGCACAGCTACACCCCTGGGTAAACCATAAACCCCCAGCTAGACCCCAGCTAAAACCCCAGAGTAACGTCAGCACTACGTCCTCTACATAGTAAAGATTGGTGGAAGATGCAGTCAAGAAAGGTCAATAGATAGATCTTTAGCTGTGTGATCAGTTTAGGGAGGTCAATAGATCTAAGTTTTACATGCCTATAGTACTAATAGAAATACCTGAATTCTTATTAGAACACAATAAATATTAGTTTTTAAAACTTGTAGGTATAATATTTAGCAATTACTATATTTTAAACATCTAAATAGCGAACTTAGGTTTTACTTAGGCGTTTAACAAAAACCAATCGATACGACGGAAATGCTCCGATGGTGCGGCTCTATGATGCGGCTCTGTGATGCGGCTCTGTGATGCGGCTCTGTGGTGCGGCTCTGTGGTACCACTCACGTGCCGGCCCTCTCGAGAGCCTTAAGTGGGTTTTAATTTTTCATCGAACAAAAATTGATTACATGAGACCGGTATCCTAAACAGAATCTAAACATTTGCTGCGGTGTCATCGGCCATAATGGCACTTTGCCGTATAGACGTGGGCTGCTAGCTTAAAACAGAGACTATTCAGAGTTATGGGAGTAAAATTAAAACAGAGACTATTCAGAGCTATAGACGTAGGCTGCTAGCTTAAAACAGAGACTATTCAGAGCTTTAGACGTAGGCTGTAAAATTAAAACAGAGACTATTCAGAGCTATAGACGTAGGCTGTAAAATTAAAACAGAGACTCTTCAGAGCTAAAGACGTGGGCTGCTAGCTTAAAACAGAGACTATTCAGAGCTATAGACGTAGGCTGTAAAATTAAAACAGAGACTCTTCAGAGCTATGGAAGTTGGAGTAGGTTGGTTATGGGCTTAGTACAGAGACTATTCAGAACTTTCTTTACCTACTCTAAGGGCCGAGCGAGTAGGTTGGTTATGAGCTTAGTACAGAGACTATTCAGAACTTTCTTTACCTACTCTAAGAGCAGAACGAGTGTCGTTTGTTTACTAACACACGTGTAAGGCAGTAACCAGGCAATGAGCAGACGGTAACAATGGGAGGAGAGAAAAAACCTGGAGGGGCTTGGTTTAACATAGTTCAAGAAGAAAAAAGTGACGTAACGCTGGGTTAATAATTGATGACACACAGGCCTAGCTCCTTCGTGAGACTTCAGGCTATTTGAAGAAAGCCTACAGCAGAAATCTTTACTCATTGTTTTACCAAGGTAGAAAGGTTCAATAGGTTTGTGAGATAGGATTTTGTTGCTCGGAAAACTCGTAAATTGTTGGACTAAATATTTACTGGGTAACCGTCGTCATAAAAGTGGTATTATCACATGTGATTGAGTGCGATGCATGTGTTTGATACAGTTGTGTAGTACAGGTGGGTGATACTGGCGTGTGTGTGTGTGTGTGTGTGGACAGGTGTGTGATACAGATGTGTATTACAGGTGTGAGATACAGGTGTGTGGTACAGGTGTGTGATACAGGTGTGTGGTACAGGGGTGTGATACAGGTGTGTGATACAAGTGTGTGATACAGATGTGTGGTACAGGTGTGTGGTACATGTGATTGATTCAAGTGTGTAATACATGTGATTAATAGAGGTGTGCGATACATGTGTGTGGTACAGGTGTGTGATATAGGTGTGTCATTCAGGTGTGTAATACAAGTGTGTTATACAGGTGTGTGATACAGGTGATTGATACAGGTGTGTTATACAGGTGTGTAATTTAGGTGTGTAATACAGCGGTGTTATACAGGCGTGTAGTACAGGTGTGTAGTACAGGTGTGTAGTACAGGTGTGTGATACAGGTGTAACAGCGATACGAGTAGAACAAAATCTTATACAATAATGTATTACCCTCAGGATATATCCAGTCTGGAAAAGACATTTAACCCTACACCCATTAACATTCCGCAGTAAAAAGTAACATATTTAGCCTAAGTAGAGTACCAAGATGTCTCCTGATTCTTCCCGACGTTGATTAGATCTTAAAATAGCTTTCTCTAACACTAAGTTAGTTTTTTTTTCCAAAACAAAAACAATCTAAAACTATCTAAATCTTACATGTAGGGTAAAATGAGTTATACACGGTCTATTTTTAGAATCCAATTATCCGGACAACGGAGAAAAAAAAAATTTAATTAGGCTTCAAATTGTTTGCTAATTATTTACAGGCTTATCACGACTCGCGATAAGTGTCTGATTTTTTCGTTCATGTCGTATATTGAGAGGACCAGACATCAGCAATGACAGCCCAGTTATTTACTGCTAAACACATCTGACAAGTGATCTCATGAAGGTAAGTTTAATATGCTTGCTCAAATGACAAGATAAGCAAGATTAAGTAAAGGGGGCTCCACTTAGATATACATATACATATATATATATATATATATATATATATATATATATATATATATATATATATATATATATATATATATATATATATATATATATATATATATATTATATATATATTATTTATTTTATACATACATACATAAATTAGTTTTCAGCTTCATTAAATACAATGCACCATAACACTCGAAAATAACACTTCTTCAAGAGCAACCATTTGGGTTTTTTTATACTTGGTTGTATGTATGTCGATGTGTATGTGATCAATTCTTTACAATTTATCATTTTAATCTAAATAAAACTGTCATTACTAATAAATTTAAAGATCAAAACATACAATAACAAAGGGGAGATAACTAGTAGCGATCACTCGATCAGTCCGGTGAGCTGATGTTCACGACGAATGTGTCCCAATTAGAGGCGACTTATTATAAGGGGCAGATACTACTTCTGTGATGTGATCTTTATAAGGGAAAGACGACATTAAATCGATTGGGTATTTTTTTTAGTCAAGGTGTGTCAAATCTAAACCAATCGTCTTGGATAGAATAGACATAAACTAAAACTTATTGTCTGTAAAGCTAAAGTATCGAATTACTGTTAAATATTGTACAGTATGTAATACTAAATATTATAAAATAAAGCAAGTATAAAAGCCTTTATAGTTACAAGCTCTAGAAATAGTTTAATTACATTTTGTTAGAACCGGATTTTATTATTTTAGTGCGCTAAAAGCGTGCTACAAATAATTGTCAGGCTTGTTTTCCTTTTATTCTTAGTAAGCTTTATTGGACACAACTGACAGTTGGGATGTCAGCTTTTTCCGAGGCTTTGGGATCGCAACATTTCCCTGAAATTTGGGATCTTAGTCTACTGCGGAAATTCGGGGTTGTTTCTTTCTCGGAAATTTGGGATCGTGGACTTCTGCGGAAATTTGACATAGTAGCTTTCTACTGAAATATAAAATCGCACCCTTCTCCTGATATTTAGGGTCGCACCCTTCTTCTGATACTTAGGATCGCAATTTTCTCCGGATATTTAGGGTCGCACACTTCTCCGAAAGCTATCAGGAGGACAAAAGGAACCGTGTCTCACGTGACCCCCTACTTCCGGTACGTGCGTACATCCACGTCAGCTGTCTGTCAGCCTTCGTGAAACCGATTTCGTCTAAAAAAAATTCTAAAAACATCGCTGATTCACCTAAAACAAGACACGGAATGTTTTTCAACTTTGAATGAAAATATTTCAATGTTCAATCCTCCTCAATTGATTCCCATAGTACTTTAGTATAATATAATGCAGTGTATTTTCAGTCAAGTTTCTGTTCAACGCTTCTATTATTTTTATTTGAAAACACTTCCGTAGTTTGGAATCTGTGAAGTCCTACAGTTAAAATGTTAAGGGCGTATGGCGAAATAGCATTTATTTCTCTTCATTGATCCCGGTTAGTTGACGTCAGGAAAATGTGTTTTTATTTTTAAAAAATTTTAAAGTCGAAGCTAAAATGACGGTATAAAATACAGCGTAGGCTAAAATTTAATGTTTTGAAAATATTGGAAACATGATAGATTTTTTAAACTGTATATTTTATTGCGGTGTATTAAATATTTTTTCCCCAGACGTAAAGCAGACGTGCAACTTATGTCCCAAATATGTCAGTTACCGCGTCAGCAGTGCGTCAACCGGCAGACGATAAACAACATTAATTGAGTGCAACAGATTAACTAATCGTTTTCTAATCAGAGGCGTAGCAAGCACATTCTGCGCCATGTTGTAATTATCCATTTTGCCCCCTCCCCCCCGTT